TGCCAGCGACACCTCGTTTTATTCTTGTTCCAACGTATCCTCCTCTATCACGTCGCCCGACAGCGAAGAAGTCCCAACAACTAGGGCCCAGGTCCGCGCGTGCCACGAAGACTTCACCTCTCTTCAATGCTCCCTGGACTGCGATCTCGATACGACGCAAGAAGACCCGGACACCCTAGGAGAACCCTCATCACTGCCAGAATCGATCGATCCTCTCTTTGTTTCCTTGGTTTCGGCTTATTATGCCCTCAAGAAACTCGACGTTGCCCACATCACAAGTGTCATTCTTGTTGTGGGCATCCAATCGTCTTTTTCTCACCAACCGCACTGGCTACTCATTCTTTTGGACAATGACAAAGGTTGCAGACGCCGGAAATGGCTCGCGATCTGCTCTGTCAATTGGATTGATACGACTTGGAAGACATTGTCGATGGTCTTGGGGCTCTTCAGCCCAGGAAACTTCGCACTGCCCCCGTTGAACACCAATCGCTTACGAAGAGTATTCAACCCTTGGCACAACAGCACCGCAACCCCTGAAACCATCACCCAACCCTTCTGGAGCTGCCCTCTCGCCAACAAGAGGCCACAAGAGCAGCCTGAGGGGTTTGCGACAACCAACGGCCGCAAGAGACTCAAAGGCGGTCCAAAAGTAAACGCTGGGTCTCCTTCAGCGGACGATGCGGAGTCGATCCAGACTTCCTCTATCCCCGAACCCGCTCCCCGTGGGAAAAAGACGACCCCGAAAAAGGCCAAGCCCGGGGGCAAGCGCTATGCCTGTCATTATTACAAAAGATGGCCCATCAAGCACAACGTGTGTTTGTCTCACGGGCAGGAAGCCCCGAGGTACGTGAAGACGCATCTCCTCAGATCGCATCGGCAACCTATTCATTGTCCGACCTGCTTCAAAGACTTTAAAACGAGGATCGAGTTCAATGGCCATGTTGTTGAGAGAGCGTGCGAACGCTCCGAAGGGACTACATGCCCTTTCATGGAGAAGATCTCAGACGATCAGGAGATCTTACTTGAACATCTTCCGCCCGGCGACGGTGACGATAAGTGGTATGCGATATGGGACGTTCTCTTTCCAGGTGTTAAACGACCGGATAATCCCTATATCGACCCCAACGACCACGAAGGAAATATCGTCACAGCCGCCAGGGGGGCGAGGGGACCACAATTCCAGCAAGGACTAGAGAGATTACGTCTCGACGGGACTCTAAACGACGCTCAAGTTGAAGCTGTTCAGGCCCTTCACGATGACGCCTACAGTGCGACACCTCAGCTGTCAGGCAGTCAGCATGCCATTGCACATCAACACTTGCTCGCAGATGCAGTGCAAAACAACGCCAGCAGCGGAAGCTATTTCCAGCCTCCTGCGACACAGCAACAACACGCGAATGATCGTTCGCAGCGGCTCGCGCCGGTTTTCACCGAAATGCCAATGCACGATTTCTCACGTCTAGGCTATCCTCTAACGATGGCACAAACATATATCCCCAGTCCCTCTCAACACCCGCAGCCATCAGCGCATCAACGCGCTCGAAATTACGGCCCCATTAATATGATGGTCCCAGGGCAGAACTACCCGCCGGGCATGAACTCAGGGCAACACCTTACACCAGGACAGGCAAACCGCGGTCCGAACATGCAGCCGCAATACAGTCGACAGCAACCTTCTTTGGGGTATTTGGCTGTTGGCAATACGCGCAACACGCAAGTCGAGTACAATGCTGCCGCTGTTATGAGGCAACAGGAAGCACAACGCAGAATTCTCCAAGCCCAGCAGTCCACCTTCTCCGACGGCTCATACAACGGGAGAGTCCATGATTACCAAACCACAGCCATCAACTCACAGCGGCCACAGGGAAACACCTTTGGCGCGAGGATGGATGCCCAAAGCCTGCGTTTCAACCAGGCAACCTCTCATCAGAATGGACTCACTGTGCCCCCAAACACACGCCGTCCTTCGGCTGCAGACAGCAGTTTTGTACACGTCCAAAACAGAAGGCGAAGCGACTTAACCATCGCTAACGACGCCACGGCGCTCATAGAGACCCAGTCGATTCAGACTGCATCAACAGATCCTGGGTCTGGAGCAACTGACGAAGGCCATGATGAAAATCATCCTTCCCAGAACGATGCCTCGGACTTGTCAGACCTTGGATCTGACTGGTTCAATCTTTCGGCAAACGGCAGCACTTCATGAAGTGCTACTGCCATCCGACAGGCCGTCTAGACCGTTCTTTATGACGGTTTCCTTCCTTTCATCCACTTCACTTCTTCATCGTGTTTTATTTCCACCATTTTTTGTGTTGTTCGTGACTTACGAGACGAGAGATAATATTGAGTGGTGACGGGCTCTCCGTTCGAAGCGCAGGCGTGGTGTATTATCGGCAGACTGGATCTGGTCTCCCCTAGATGGGCAGGGTAATGTTGGACAAAATCCTGGCGGGCCATAAAGTAATTATTTTAGCATGTGAGACTGGGTTCGCGCCGGACGAACTCCAGTACTCCTGTTCTGGCAGCTGCTGTACGTAAATGTGCATGGTAAAGCGCGAGATATCATTTTTGACGGCCAATTGAATTAGATTTTGAGCGTGTAAATTGCGTCTTCGCTCGTGTTAATAGCCTTGTCTCTGGCTTCAGATTTGTGACAGAATGAACCGGTAAAAAACAAATGTCCAATTCAATTTCGATATTGCATCGAAGCAAAATCAACAGTATCTTGAAATTAATTATCATCAACTCCCTGTTTCTCGGGCTTCGCACAGGAGCATGTCTAACTTACAGCCCCTCCCCCGCACTCTGAAGAAGGAAACAAAACAGCCATAAATCCCCTAGAGCGTGCAGAAAATCTCCCGTCTTATCCCCGACAGCCCCTCCAAACACCAAGGAACCGTTAGTGTTTCGGCACCTCACACAAAGTCCGCGCCGAGGCGGGACGAGAGAGGGGCCCAAGGGTTCAGATCCCCAGAAGGGGGGCCAAACACTGGACCCCGGGAGAACCATTGCACCAGAACCCGGCACGACGGGAGACGCGGGACACACGGATCACAGTTTAACCATTAGCCCATGCGTCAACGTGTGTTTGGTGTTCGGGTGTTCGACTACCGTTACTCTAATCTGCCGACGGGGTAATTGGTCCCTCCGAAGCTTGATCCTCTAACCACAACACCCTACTTGCCATACCGCGTCTCCCGTAAACATCGCGAAGACACCCTTCCTCCTCTCGTACAACGAAGCTATTCCCAGTGCACCTGACACCCGAAAAGCAGCAACAATGGTCTCAACCCGCTCCGCCTCCCGCGCCCTCTCCCAGGGCCCAACAACCCCCTCCCCTCCCCCTCCAACCCGACCAACAACGCGCGCCGCCGCCGCCGCCCTCCCGCCCAAAGACAACACCTCCACCGCCGCCGGCTGGTCCCACGCCCCGACGCCCATAACCCTCTTCTGGCTGCTCGTCTCGCTGCCGCTGGTCGCCTGGGACACGGGCTACGTGCTGCTGCGGCCGTGGACCATGCCCGGCGGCCACCTCCACTGGCCGCTGTACGTGCCGTACGCACTCTACGGCACCGTCGACCACATCTACGGCTGGAAGGCCTTCAATGCGCGCAACGGTTTCACGTCCGCGCAGGGCACGCTCAACCTCGTCGAGAGCGTCATGTACCTCGTCTACGTGTGGATCTACTTCGCGCGCGGCCGGGCGGTGCAGGGCCCCGCGGGGATCAAGAAGGTCGTCGGCGGGCGGGCGGGCGCGCTGGGTGTTGTTGTCGGGTTCAGCGCGGCGGTGATGACGCTGAGCAAGACGGTGCTGTACTGTGAGTGGTGTTCCTGAAGGGAAATGCAAGACAGGTGGGAATGGTGAGTGCTAATGACGCGGTAGGGGCGAACGAGTACTTCTCCGGCTTCGATAACATCGGCCACAACCCGCCTATGGACCTCCTTTTCCTCTGGATCATCCCCAAGTGAGTAAACCCTCAGCGGCGTCCCCGGACCTTCATCGCATGGCAAAGAGGAAGAGACACTAACACATCCGCGACAGCGGCGCATGGCTCCTCGGGTCGGGATACATGATCGCCTCCCTGGGCGGCGAGATCGTCGACGGACTGGCCCTCGCCTCGAAGACGACCAAGACGGAATAGAGTTTCGCAACGCACACGACTACCACGTGCCAAGCACCGAACGAAGCGCCATGTAAATCATCATACGATTGCGAATCGACGACCCGGACAATAGGGAGGCTGAGAGGCAGTCGAGACAATCGAAAAGGAGGCTGGCTGGATCAATCACGGGGGTGACGGACAAAGAAGGAACGCGGTCCCGGCTACCAGGTTTCGGCGACGGGAGCTAAGAACAAGATAAAGAAATGGCTAAATGAGGCTGGGTTATTGACGGTTTGACACGGTACATATGGCGATATGGGATGGGCTTGCATGTGTGTTAAGGTTGTTTGTTTGGCTACTTATCGGTGCAGTTGGGCGTCGGGCTGGTTAACGTGGTCCCGCTCCATCCACTAGGTAAGTCAGGCTGCCATCATGCAGCTTCAGGGAATGTGGATGAACGGCATCAACTTGATGGTCAGCGCTAGACATCCTAGCAAATGGGAATATGGCCGACATGGTCTGGACACTGATTTGACAGAATCGCTGAATGGCATGTGTAGGGCAGCAATCTGGTCGCGACCCTACAGGTCGATTCGAATCATAAGCGAAAGATAATCAAGGATTGGCAGAGAGAATCATTTTCTGTGTGATTTCCACCCCTTCTAGTATTACATGACATGTCGCGCGACATGATGCAGTTGAATCCGATCCCGACTAAACGCCTAGATATGATAATGGTACATAAAAGACCGTTTGAAGGAGGGTGCGATGGGTATCTCTCATCAAGTCCATGATAATAGGTACAAAGAAAACGGAACGCTGTATTCGTTCCCAGCATTCCCGACATAATAGAAATCTAAATTTGAAAAAAGGAAAATTGAATGAGTAAGTCCCGCATTAGATGTTCAGCGGCGACAGGCTGGTAAGCCCGCCAAGGTCTTTGTACTGCTCCCATTCGGGCTTGACATCAGCATCCTCAACCATAGCCTCGAGGCTCAGCGGTGCCGATGTCTTGCGAATCTGCAGCGGGAGGGGCTCCAGCTCGTGGCGGTGGAACTCTGCCTCCTGCTCCTTGATGAGCTCCTCGTAGTCGTGGGCGTAACTGCCTGCCCCAATGACGCTGTGGCGTCTGGTAGTGGACCATTCCGAAGAGCTGGCACGCGGGGTCCCGACAAAGGAGAGGACGTCCCTGACACGCCGGCGCCCACGAAGGGGAATGGGGCTCAACATCGGAGACTCTTGGTTGGGCCAGGCCTTGTCCGGCGCGTCGGGCGAGGTCGGCGGTGCCGTCGAGTCGACGGTAGCATAGCTGATGCCGCCGGCCGATGCCTCTGATATGGCGCTGGACTCTGAAGAGGTTGAGAATGAACGAGGCGCCACGGTGCAGGGAGACAGCTCGGGCGGCTCGATGAGGCGGTTGGCAAGCTTCTTCACGGCATTAGTGCCGTTACCGTAACCGTGAACCACGATCTCGCAGTAGGATGCTTTCCGGGGGGTTGGTGTAGCTTCGTCCTCGTGCTTGCGAAAAATACTAAGTGTTCTCCGAAAGGGGCTGTTGCGGGACAAGCTGCGGCTGCGTGATCTGGGCGGTACGGCCGGGGCGCCACCCATGGTTTGCCTCCGGGCGAGGAGTTCTTCACGGCGTGACTGGGCGGTGTAGTCAATATCCGGTTGGATGACAATGCTCGGCGAGACCAGAGCAGGGGAGATCGGGTTCTCTGAGCTCCATTGAGAGACAGACTGAGAACGCTGCATGTTAGGAATGAAGTTCATCGGGGTCTGAAGAAGCGGCTTTAGGCCGCCACGGCCATTCTTCCAAGGGGGCAGTTGCTCGGTGGAGACAGCCAGATGGTAGTCAGCGTCGGCTGAGTCGCGAACTTCGAGGGGAGGCGATGTGCAGTTGCGAAGGACCTGGTAAACGGCGTAGATCAAGATCCATCGCACCTTGCGTGCATCGACCGGATTGATCTTTTCTGTCTTGTCGGTTTTGGTGTGTGGCATGACAGAGTCTTCCTCGAACTTGCGATACGCCCGAACAAAGTCGTTCTCAAGCAATTCCGAGTCGCGGACGTTCATCGCCTTGATCAAGGCGGCGTGTGCAAGGAGGCGATGGTCGGGCTTGAGCTTGTCTCCGCGGGCGGTGTTGGCCAGCCATGCCAAAGACATGCGCCGCGATGCTTTGTCATCGTCGATCTCGGGCAATAGTGGTAGAGGGTGCTTGAGAGAAGGATAGTCGCATCTCTCATCAAACGATTGCACGCTTTGCACAGCGCAAATTCCGCCCTGGGCAAGCAAGGGACTGCTGTCGTCTGAGGTGAAGCTCTCGTCCACAAGCAGGTCGTACACTGCCCGGAAGTCCTTTCGTAGGATTTCGAAAATCTCCGGGTCAAATATCGTGCTTCGCGAATCGAGTGAGAGCGGCGGGAAATAGCCGAGACGTGTCTGGTAGAATGAGAGTACGAAGGAACGGAATCGGTCCAGATGTGCCCGGCCTCCGGCTGGGAGGCCGAGATTTGCTTCGGAGAGTTCGTCCTCGAGGAATGATTCCAACATGCTACCAGCCAGACTCAGCCGGTTGTTCATGTCTGCGCGGGCTCGGCGAATAAGAGTACGGGAGATGGAGCTGATATGCTGCGGAATGTTAGCTCAACTTCGCTTGAGAGACAACGGATTCCAACGCGCATACCTGGTATTCCGGGCTGCAAAAGAGCTCCTCGCTCATTCCAACGCAATGACTGAAGGCGTCAATGTACATGTCCCGCACCTGGAAGAACTCCGCCAGATGCAAGATTGCCAAGGCGTGGTGCGCATGGCCCTTTAAATCCAGGTAGCCCTCCTCATCCAAGTAAGAGTGAAGATCCATCATGTGGTCTTCGCCGTTGCTCCTGAATTCTGCCATGCTGTTCATGAGTCCGATGAGGGCGCTTCCCAGATATTCTCCGACAACCGACCGCCTGAAGATCCACGCAAAGAAATTACGCGTTGCCAAATGGTAAGCAAATGCCTGTTCCTTGTCGGCCATGGGGGGAGCCGGGATATAAAGCTCGATCCTCTCGTGAGGATTCAGGGCGTTCCATCTGTCGAGGTCCTCGTACGGGTCGTGAAATGACCCTGGAGATTCAGGCATGTCGCGGGACATGAATTTCCCGACGAACGGATGACATTTTGCGGAAAGTAAGGCACCGAACGGCACCTTGAATGCTGGTCCTCTTCTCGACTGTCCCTTGCCATACAAATGCACAAAACAGTTACCACCACGGAACCATAATTCCGGATCCTGAGCATATTGTCAGTAAGCTGAGAAACGAAGGGTCACGGCTGGCGATACCAGCCGCGGAAATGCAGACGTACCCTCCTGAGGTTATCCCAGTCACTGCATGACCTCGCAGCTCCATCCCACCTCTTGACCTTTGCAATCTGAGCTGCCCTTCCATCCATCATGGGCACTCCAAGCTTCTTCGACTTCCAAGCTTGAGATGATGTCGACATCGTGGGACTTGGCGGGGGAAGCGACAAACGGGGACGGGGTTCACGACGACCGGTCTTGGTAGAAAAGGCATCTTGAGACAGCGGGGTGGGAATGTGTCGCTGATTTGTACGATCCTTGGGTGCCGCTTTGGATGACCCCTTGGACGGCTCTTTCCTCCACGAGCCAAAGGGCAAGCCCGCTGGATGCGGCCACAGCCTCATGGCTGAAGAGCTGATGGCACTGGAAGGCGCCGATGACTGCAGAGTGTGTTCCGGACCGCCGATAGAACTCCAATAATTCCGTCAGTGCCCCTGGCAGATCTGCGGTTGTCGATGAGGGGTGGATGGGAGAACTGAGCTGACTAGCGCGTGACCAGTACGCCCGTATGAGCGAACAATGACTTTGGATCGTCACTGCATTCCACAACCTCAACGAAAACAGCAGATCCAGGTGTGCAAGAAGTTGTGGTTGGGTGGGAAAAATCAACGCCGCAAACCTTACAAAACGTCTTCGGGCGGGCGTCGTCATGGCTTTATGTCACTTGTCCCAGATCAGAACAAACTGACCCGACTTTCGGGGACTGGTCTGAACCAGCGCCGTGGTGGGACTAGTAGACGTCCTCACGGTCCGAGCAGTTTTCGAGTGACGCGGCGGGAACAACAAGGATATGGCTTCACGCCATGTCTTAGGCCGGGCCGCCACTAGGTAGGATGGAGGAACCCCTCACTCACAGCCCTGTCCTGGCCTGCATGGGGAGAGAAGGCGACCATGCGGATGTGCCTGTCATCCACAGCAGTATTGGATGCGCTGTCAAGCTCTGATTATGCGAGTGCGTGTGTGTAATCGACCTGCCTGTGCCTGGCACATGATGCAGCAATAGTAGGCGTCAGCTTCGCTGCGCCGCAGTAGGTTCCCCGTCTGTGAGCAGAGCTTCGCAGCAAAACCCTCTCCAAATACTTCAGTTCTAACTTTGCAACTTCAACGGCGACAGAACATGTCTGAAAGTCTCAAACACTCTCTGCGTCTCCACAAACGCTGTTGTGACGCGGTCCAAGACGACGACGTTGAAGTGATCGACAGGATGGGGCACCTGTAGTTCCCTCGATGACAAGAGCACTTCTGCACCGTAGGCCTACCTTTTGGGGCCGAGCAGGGTGCTAGTCTGTGGTAGTGATGCAAAGCGTCCCTGTTGGCTCCCCTCACCCACCCTTCGGAGGGTTGACATGGGGGATCACCGTCCTCGATGCATCTTTCGGCGTAAGCTTGCATGCACCTCTGAGCCTCCTGATTGGCCACCACGGCGAGCGGCTCTCTCCATGGGAGCAGTGTCTCATTAAGAGTTGGCGCCCAGCACCGGGAGCTTGAGTTCCATTTGCCATCTCTTGTAGTAATGTCGGATTTGGATCATGCTGCTGATTCATCAGTCATTGGTGCAGGATGTGGTGTAATCATAGCAAAATCCCAACGGCCCTGATCGCATGCAGCCAGCAGAGCTCAAATTCGACCGTCTTCATCTTGTTCAGACCTCATCCTGATTCTAGGCCTTCGGTTCACAGGCCTGCTGACTGACAACTCAGAGGGCCAAGCGACGTCATTAGCAAATGGCGCCAGGCATCCTCACGACGGCAACTGCCAGACGGTATTTCCTAGAAGCTGTTTTTTGACAGTGCTCCGATTCGCCCGCCCTCTTTGTCGGAAAAGTAACCGAAGAGTCTCGGACACTCATTGCAGGCTCATTGCAGAGTCTCAAAGGAGCGCCCTGGGTAGAGACATGCTCCCGCTGTTGTGCACCCTCGTCAAATAGTACTAGGATGATCCAGGGCCGGAATCCAGTACAATCGAACCGCGAGTGCGCGTTTCGATCCCTCGCTCTATGCCGTCGGCCGACCTGAACACCTTGTCTGCTGGTCAGGGCCAGCCAGTGGACAGTTGCATTGCCGTGCTCGCGACATCAGACGATTCGAGACCAGAAATCCCCGATTTCGCTTCGCCGGATTTCCTCTTTGGTCGCCACCTCGTCGGCGGCACATCTTGACAAAGCTATGGCCTGCGAGTGTTCGGGAGGCCAAAACGCTGGGCTGGTCGATGTTGCGATGGACACGACCTTCTGGAGCGAAATGCACAATCAACGCCCAGACGGACTGTGTTGTGGGTGGAACGACGGACCGGCACAGAAAATGCAGGCACTCTGGTGCTTTGCTTCTTCTGCCTGCGCGGCGGGACGCACACCGTGCAGAGTGCTGCCATCCCTTGCAGCCGGGCTACAGTCATGCTCGACGAGCTGAGAGGCACAAAGGAGCTCCGGAGACGGATCCCATCAACCTTGGCCGCCGTCGAGTGCCGGACCGGGGGAAAGACACGCTTCCCAGAACATGGGTATTTCAGCTCTCGCTCGCTTCGGGAGGATTGCGCGACCTAGACCGCCGCTACTGAGAGGGGTCTGGACCACCAGCCGCTAGCGCGGCGCTGCTGCTGCAACGAAAACGTCGAAGCTGAAGGAGAATTTCCAGCCAGGTGGAACCCATTGAACGGCAAAAGGAAGCCTTAGACGAGACTTGGACGAGATAAGGTACGAGAGGCAAGCTTGGCCGGGGGCGTGGCGGCCGGCAGAGCGAAGAAGGTTGAGCATTTGGAAGGCGGACTCGAGTCTCGTTGTCCTCGGTGCTGGTGGCCATTCACCTCATCCCCGGCGACACCGAGACCTTCGATCTGATCGAGATGGATTCGAACTTGTAGATTCGCCTTAAGGAGTCAAGTCTCTCGTGGGAGACCAAATGAAAAGGCGATGGGTGACACCTGTGACGGCTGATTCGGGGCATGCTTGGCGAAGCAGCCGGCGATGCAGTGACAAGAGACGGTCGGTAATCTTGAGGGTTTGACACCACGCCCACGCGAGAAGCGAGTGTCCGTTCGTACGACCATCGTCTCCAATGGAATGGGCAAAGTGTTCGAGCGGTAGCGCGTGTCAACAGGCGATGGATGAAGGGCTAAGGTGGCCATCGACATCCCAGGTCAATGAGTAGTCAGTGGAAGGCCGTGAAAGTTCGTGTAAGTCGTTCGTCCGGCCGAAATGGAGGGTACGAGAGTTCAAGCTCCACTGCGAACCGTTCACCCCGCTTATCTAATCGTCTCGTCTTATCTTTTTTATCGAGATAACAATCGGCCCCGGGATCAAGGTAGGCCCGTCCTCATGCCGTGCCAGGTGCAGAGGAGCACGCCACCTGGCAAGAGCTGCCCACCAAAATTGAGGTGGGATTGATTCGGCACCGTGTTGAATCAATCGGACGGCATCGCTTTCGCGTCCGGGACAGCAGCTCTGTGCAGAACCTCAAACGCCTCTCGATCAGCTCAACTCAGTCGGCCCCGAACCACATCTCCAGCCCCCGGAATCGTCTCCGCCAACCACTATGTCGGAGCAGTAATGGCGCCCTTGACTCCATACACCTACATCCGGTGCCCCTGTTCCGAGACGCGGGCGAGTGAGGACGGCTCCTCGACGCCCGGCAGCCCAGAGGACGATGAGCGCACCTTCGACCCCCGCGCCCCGCGCGCCAACTTCAGCCTCTTTCCCCTGGAGCACTTGATGTACTGCGAGGACTGCCACCAGATCAGGTGTCCTCGCTGCGTCAACGAGGAGATTGTCACCTACTACTGTCCCAACTGCTTGTTTGAGGTGCCTAGCAGTAACCTAAAAAGCGAGGGCAACAGGTGAGCGCGTCAGTGCTGCGACACCACTTGGGACGATCTTGCTGATAGTTTCCCCGCAGGTGCACTCGAAGCTGTTTCCAATGTCCCGTCTGCATCGGTCCCCTCGCGGTTACCAGTCTCGAGGAGCGGTCCGAAGCCAGCAGTCTCCTCACCGCTGACGCCTCTGCCCCGCAGGGCGGCCCATACGTCCTAAACTGCTCATACTGCAACTGGAGCTCGACCGAGATTGGCATCAAGTTTGACAGGCCCAATGGCATCCACGGGCAACTGGCGAAGCTGCAGAACGGCGGCAAGCCCAAGTTGACGCCCAAGGAGCACAAGGAGAGGAAGAAGGAGAGCGGGGCAGACTACTCGCTGGACGCAAAGGACATGGACACGGAGCTGCAGTTTGCGCAACTCAAGTCGTTTTACCAGAACCAGCTTGGAAACTCCAACCCTTCTGCAGGCGGACTGTCGTCTCTCGGGGATCTTGGGCTCTCCTCTCCCGGATCTCTGTCGCGTATCATGAGTCTGTACACGGGAAACAACTATGGCCACAAGCAGGCGCGGGGCAAGGTGCAGATCATGCGTGAGGCAGTCAGCACAGACGAGGGGCTGAAGGAGACGGACCTGGACGAGTCGGCGGCTATCGAAAAGCTTCGCCAGACCGTCCTCGACGACACAGCTACCATTGCCCAGAACGCCCACCAGCAGGACTCTGTGCGCTTCAGAGACGAGCTGAGGCCCATCCCCTACCTGCTGAGAACCAAGCGGTCGAAGCGATGCCCCATCTGCAGGCACATCATCAGCAAGCCGGAAGCGAAGATCTCCAACACCCGCTTCCGCATTCGCCTCGTCGCGGGCAGCTACATCCCGACCATCACCATCCGGCCGCTCGCCTCGGAGTCACAAAACATTCCCTCCACGGCCAGGCCGCCGATACCCCAGGAGCTGTGGCTCGCCCCGCTGAAGCCGGTGCAGTACCTCTTGACCTTCAAGAACCCCATCTTCGAGACGGTCAAGGTGTCCCTGGCCACGCCGTCCAGCACGCCTGGCCGCTTCGCGAGCACCGTGACGGTGTTCTGTCCTCAGTTCGAGATTGATGCCAACACGGACATGTGGGACGACGCGCTCAAGGACGACACCGAAAAGGAGCGCCGGAGAGGCGAGGAGGGCGCGCTGCTGCAGGCCGAGGTCGGCAAGATTTACGATCGCGGCCGCAACTGGGTCAGCATCGTGCTGGAAGTCGTGCCGGCGTCGCTCAGGCTGGAGTCCAGCGGCAAGGCTGCCGAGGATGCGCTCCTTGGGGACGAGGATGTGCTGGAGATACCCATGTTTGTGCGCCTCGAGTGGGAAACGGAAGGCCAGGGGGATGTCGGCACGGCGCAGGGCAAGGATAAGGAGGCTAGAGAAAAGAGGGAGCTAGCATACTGGTGCGTCTTGGGAGTTGGACGCATCAGCCAGGAGTAGATGTCTGAATGAATGATACCCCAACTTTGACTTTGCACTCCATCATGAGCTCCTGGCACGACTACCGAAGACATTTATAGTGTTATGTCACTTCATAGTCACTAACAGGAGGGACAGTACGGAAGGGAGCGGTCAAGTGTGTGGTATATGCATTTTTGGGGGCGGTCATTGAGTGAATCCGCCAAGCTACATCCTTTAGACGCCAGACCCTTTTGACCAACCAGTCATTGCCATGCTCTTCATTGCAGCAGACCTTAAAATGCCAAATGCCCCATCCATCATTGACCGACCCAAGTAAACACTTTTGAAGGGAGTTCTCCCCTAAGAAACCCAGCCATCTTTACGAGGACGAGTAGCTTAGAAGTCAGAGGCACCGCTCTGGGGGAACTCGAAGGTGACGCCGCGGCCGGTGAGCTTGCGGTAGACCTCGGAGTAGGTGTCGAGGCGGTAGTCGACGCCGCCGCGCTCCTTCTCGTCGAGGATGACCTTGAGGACCTTGGAGCCGTCCTCCTTGGTGCGGAGGCGCTTGCCGACGATCTCGACGGGGTAGACGAGGTCGGTGAGGATGGCGTCGTGGACGGCGGTGAGGGTGCGGGAGCGGGGGCGCTTCTGGGTCTGGGTGTTGCGGGAGCGGGCGGAGCGCTTGGGGCGGGGGAGAATGCGGCGAGAGGCCAGGATCAGGACGTGGCGGTCGGAGAACTTCTTCTCGAGCTCACGGGTGAGGCTGAGGGGTATTAGCATCGCGGGTTCGGGAAGATTTAGAGTGGTGGAGTGGAACTTACCGCTGCTGGACGCGGTGGAAGCCCTGCAGGGAAGGAACGGGGACAAAGATGGCGACAGCCTTCTTGCCGTGGCCGACCTCGATCTATTACGAAAGATCACAAGTCAGCATGCGAGCTCCAGGACGAATGCCTTGGACCGCTTCCCGTCCTGTTCCTGAGATTATGAGTCTTTTCAGCGTTCAAATCTTTTGCCGCCACGGCTGCTGCAATTTCAGCGCAGAGTTCGATCAGACCTGAGATCATCAACCGTCGCAGGAAACATTCTCGCTCCGATTCCTTCCATATTCTCCTCGATATCTCTCAATCGGTGGAACTGGGGGAACTACGGTGCGCGAGTCAAATATCCATGGGTTCTCTCTCGTCGGTCGACTGGCTGGCTGGCTGGGCAATCCGTGGCGGCAGGAACAGGATTGTCGATTTCGAGATTTCTGTGCGAGTCCTTTATGGCGGATTCTTTAGGTATTTCTCACCTCGCGGGCAGAGACGAACTGCAGAGGGCGGAGGGCGACCTTGAGGTCGGCGGTGTTGCTCTCGAGGTCGTACAGAGCCTGGGCGATGCTCTGCTCGAGCTCGGAGGGGTTGGCCCGCGAGGGGCTATTGGGGGCGATCTTGTTCAACGCGGCGCTCATTTTGGCGGTTGGTTGGGGCTGGTTGGACGTGGTGGTCGGGTTAGTTGACGGGATCCTCGAGCGGGACAGAGGTCGAAAGGGAAAAAAAACCTCGAGATGTCCAAAATGTTCGCGACCACACCGAACGAGCGCTGCCGGCGGCGATTGGGGTTTGGAAGCCCTGTGGTGCTGGTCAGTGCGTTTTTCACTCGCCTAATTTTTGGGCTCATTGCAGCCAATGGGGTGGTCCTCATGGCCCCGCTCTCTCCCTCCACCACCTTTCCGTTTCGGGATGGTATCCACCGTCAGAGCTTCAGCTGTCAGAGCAGAGAACAACGTGAAAACCGTTGATGAAGCGCTCCCATCCTTCTCAAGATTTGTGTTGGCCATGCCGGATAAGCATATCCGAGTTTGGACTATTTTACATCCTTGTTGTTTTTAGCCAGTGGCTGGAACACCTGATTAGAGGTTACTTGTTCAATGTTCTCATTGACCTTGGTTGGCTCATTGCCATCTCTTTGCCTCGAAGCCCAACTCGCATCAAGTGATGGCCAGTTCATGCGCTCAAGTCTGGTTCAAGTCAACATCATCATTCAAAAGGTGTATGTCACTGCCATTTTATAAAGTCTTCTATAATGTGCGGCATAACTCATACCTTGAGCTTTTGATTTGGATATTCTATTTGAATTAGATCCATTACCCGGAACTTGCCCCTTGTCGTCTACCATCTCAATAATCACACAATACCTCCCTTTTCTAACGAGCGTCGTGTTGTTACAAGCCGTTACTCATGTCAAGTGACCCAGGCATCTGGCCCACTCCTTACATCATATCGCTGCGTGCCTCATTATTCCGCTCCTGTCTGTTCAACTCATCGCGGAAGGCATTACCGGTGCTGGGCGGAGGCGGTCTCGGCGGCGGCATCATCTCCACCCCGCCGCGGTTCGCCGACGTGAAAGTGCCGTCCGCAAGCCTCAACCCGTCCGTCCTCTGCCCGCGGCTCTTTCCAATACCATACCCCTGGCTGCGCGACGCGAACATGCCCTTCCTCCTACCATACCACCACACGAACCAGCCAATACCGCAGAGCGACAGCACGCCGAACACGATGGGCAGCACGATCCCCAGCACGTTGACCTTGCGGCGCACCGGGTCGTTAATTGAGGTCCGGTTGTTGCTGATGACGCGCACCTTGGGCCCCGCGTTGCGCGCGACGATGCTGCCGTTGGCCGCCGGGATCGCCAGGAACAGCTGCACATCCATCGCCTCGCCGGCGGGCATGTCGTAGCCCAACACGGCCCACTCGAAGAAGCCCGCCGACGCGGGGATCTCGAGCGACGAGAAGCCGTGCCCGGGCTCCTTGATGGTGCTCGTCACGCCGTAGTCGCCCTGGACCTGGACGACGGTGTTGGTGGAGGGGAAGAGGGAGGCGTCCCAGGTGACTGGTACACGATTAGCGGCCGTCCCACGAGTTGCAGTCGATGCATGGGGGGACAGGGCTGCTGCTGCTGCTGGAGCTGGTGTTGGAGCTGCAGCTGTTGTTGCTCACCAAAGTACGTCTTGCCGCCCTCCACCTGATTGTCCTTGGCCGGCGCGCAGAACGGCTGCGCGAGGCCCCCTGAGCCGGCGGCCGGGTTGCAGAGGACGAAGGCGCCGCCGCCCTGTGCCTCGGCCGTCGGGAGGGCGGTGTTGCCCGGGAAAGCTGAGGTGGTCTTGCCGTCGTTGACGGTGGGTGTGATGGTCTTGGTGGCGCCATCGGCTTCGACGGTGACCCAGGCGCGCGGGGCCTCGCTGCTCTGTCGGGGGAAGATGGCTGCTTGGGTGAGGGCTAGGGAGGCGGCCAGGAGGGCCAGACCTCCTCGTGATGGTGCACCCCAGGTGACCATGGTTGACCGAAGCAAAGACGAAAAAATAAAAAGATTAGATATGAATAATGAGACGGTATTTACTGCCAGCTAGTGGCAACCCGGGACGAAACGAAGAAGAGGAAAACGAAAAGAGGTTCACAAAAGGGACTCCCGAGCTTTCTACGTGGGGGGACAAGGAAATAGGTGCTGTTAAGTATCAGGAAATCAGCACTGGGCATGCAAAATTGCGACGAACTGAAGGCTTAACCTGCGTGACTTCCTGCTCACGGGACACCTTAATCTTGCCTTCATGAAACTCTCACGTGTTGCCTCCTACGCTGAAGCACCAGACGACGCAGCTGGTTGCGATTCTTGATGTTCCAAGTTGTCCTGACTGCAGATGTCTTTACCCCGCGTTTCTTGAATAGACTAATGGCTATCAATCCATCAGCCTAGTGCTGCTATTTCGATTTTGACAGCTACTAGCAAGCAGCTAGCAATGAAGGATTCTCTCCATCAAGATCAAAAAAGGCTCCAAGGCAAAGTAGCTTTCTCTCTGCTAGACCAAAGAGACGAACCGTCCATGGTTCTGCTCTGTCAGCCGAACAAAAGCAAAGCTAGGACACGCGGGGGCCGCTGACTGACACGCAGGGGTTTCCCCTCTCCGGTTTCACCCAGTTTGGCATGTTTCCTTCGGAAGAAAAGGGCCACAGGGCATCAGACTAGTGAGCGCAGAGTGGCCTTTTTGCCTGAACTGATGGTGCGAATGTGCCGCTGTTGAATGACAAAAGGAATTCGGGGACCGTTGGGGTCCAAGCTAAGGTCGTCTGCAAGTCGATGCGACTTGTCGAGGAGGAGGATGGGGGGGCACTGTGCCGATGGGGTTCATGGCGGGAATTCGCTGGGGCCTCTTCGCCCAAGGTCGAGCTCGCGTCCCCGGGAACCCCGTTGAGTTCAAGAGACGTAGGAGCATCAGCTGCAAGGTTCGGCACTTTGATGAGACACTCTTATGTGAGCGGATGCATGGTACAGATGAGAGGCACTACGAGTCAAAGGGTGGGGATCAAGACGGGACTGGACGGAAGAGAGGGGGGCAAGACAGACAAGACAGCAAGCCGGGGGTGCTTGGTCCAGTGACGCCGGGGCTCCGAGAATATGTGGGGCCTAAGCCGGCCTTCCACGGCGCAACAACGGCGCGGTGACCGGTTCGGAGGCGCGACACAGTGCAGGAAGAAAAAGCAATAGACAGGGGGCTGGCCAGGGCTGGATGTTGAGAGAAGAGCATGGAGACGAATCAACGGGTTTCGAATTGACTCAAACCCCAGATTCAGCAAGGCTCCGGTGCAACGTGCCTCCATTTTTCCTGCCATCCATCCATCCATGAATTTCTGCACATGTCAAATCACCCCTCGGGAATCTGTCGGTGAGATGACGCCTAACCCAGGCAGGAAATCAGTATGTGCCGTCTTGGCCAAGATCGTCGGCAGCGAGATGCAGTCGCAGGGCCGCGTTTCCGTAAGTTGTCAGCCAAGAAATTGGCCGCGCACATTGAAACGGGGGGCCGGCGGCGCTATTGAAACTTTTATGGCTTTTTTTTCATGGCTTGAGAGGGCTTCGTGGGCTTTCCAGAGTTGCAGACGGGTACCGGCGGGGTTCATCGCTGTCCTGCTGGGCCGTTTGGGCTGTGAGCGCTTTTAAGCCGTTGTTGACTCATGCCTGTACCTTGCTGCTTTTCTCAGATCCATTCCAGATCGATCGAGCGTTCTTTTTGAGCGAGATATTATATGAGATCTTATAATTAGCCGCCCAGATTTCTTCAAACAGATGAAGCTTTGTTCGTCTGTTTCGCCAAGCTCCTGTTTGCCGCACCTAGTCTCCGTTTTTAGGTCCCATCATCTTCCCTCGAACCCTTCCCGTGATAATTTAGTTAGTGACACTGACTGCGAATCTGCACTGTCCCAACCTCATCATTTCCCCCCAAGTCAATTCAACACTCCGTACCTGATCGCCCAACCTCCCCTCTCCCCCGCCGGAGCGCCGGACTATCGACAGAACAAAAAAAAAGAGCGCCGCACCGTTTACGCACCGTCTTGGCACCGTTCTGCGCAGTGACGTCTCTAGCGCGATCGTCGGACCTTCCCAACAAATCTTCCGAAGACGAAGACGAAGCAGCAACGGCAGCCCGCAGCCAAGAAGCAATTGGAAAGGAAAGGCGTGCTTGCTGCGACATTTCTTCAATCTTGGCTCCTTTGGCTCCTCCTCCTCTACGGTCAGATCCAGATCCAGCAGCCAATCGCGCCAAACCTCCGGACCTGCAGCCGCCTCGCCTGTAGCTCCTCCTCCCGAATCACCTCCGCTTCCTCCGTCCTCCCGTCATCCTTCTTCCCTTTCCTCTCCCTTCTTATTTCCTCCCTCCTCCCCCCTTGCTTCTGCCTCTTCCATTTCCTCTAATGTTTAAATCCAGCCCCGTCCCGCGCTCTCTTCTATCCTCTGCGCGACTCGGCCGTCCTCTTCCCTCAAGACTCTTCCCCAACATCGCCGCCCTCAGACCTCACCACCTCCAGCAGCAGCACGCCAGCTTCTCCAAGGTCACCAAGCCCATCCCTGAACAGCCCGACTTCGACAAGATGGCCGAAAACGACATTGAAAAGTACCTCAAGCAGACGCACGACCGCGTCTTTGAGCACAACAAGGCCTGGGCCGAGCAGAAGAAGAAGGAAGACCCCAACTTCTTCGTCACCCTCTCCGCCGGCCAGACCCCCGAGTACCTCTGGATCGGATGCAGCGACTCGCGCATCCCCGCCGAGCAGATCACCGGCCTCGGCCCGGGTGAGGCCTTCGTCCACCGCAACATCGCCAACCTCGTCAACAACATCGACCTCAACGTCATGAGCGTCATCAACTACGCTGTCCGCCACCTGCAGGTCAAGCACATTGTCGTCTGCGGCCACTACGGCTGCGGCGGCGTCAAGGCCGCCATGACCCCCAAGGATCTGGGCCTCCTCAACCCCTGGCTTAGGAACATCCGCGACGTCTACCGCTTCCACGAGGCCGAGCTGGACGCCATCAAGGACGAGGAGGCCCGCTACGACCGCCTGGTGGAGCTCAACGTTATCGAGCAGTGCCGCAACGTCATCAAGACTGCTGCCATCCAGCAGTCCTACGCCAAGAACAAGTTCCCCATCGTCCACGGCTGGGTCTTTGGCTTCAACGATGGTCTGCTCAAGGACCTCAAGATTGACCACGAGTCAATGCTCCACGACATCCAGAAGATCTACCACCTCCCCGACGCGTAAGTCGCGATCGCGCTTGCATGCTTGGGTTACTGGTGCGGGGTTCTTGCCAGTTGGGGAAGCGCGAGGTGAGCCGGTGAGTCACTACCTCACAGCACATGGGGCTCACCGACCGCCATCGCGACATGGGGGAAATTTTTTCTTGTTGAGCGGCCACCCGGTGCAGATCCGGAATGGGGTTGGGAGGAGATTTTTTGGACCGAGACATTTGGCGGCAGCCGCCCACACGGTGCATCGGGGCTTAGCCTACAACGTCCAACGTCAAAAGGGCGCACCCCGCTACCGTGCATCTCCGTGGGCGGGAGAGTAGATCGTTATCAAGCTGTCACCGGCGGTTGGCATCGGAGTTGAGGGAATTGAGTTTTCTTGGTGCAGGAGCACAGCTTTTTGGGGGCGCGGGCGAGCTTGGTGTACGGGGGAGGGCAAATATTGTTAGCACGTTGTTCTGGATGAGCAAACTGATGCAGAGAATCATGAAAAGCAAGTATTTACTACAAAAATGATGGTTTTGAACCTCTATGAAATACCGAGTAATTGGCCGACCTGGGTCTCGGCCAAACATGATGGCAAGATCATCACGAATTCAAATTTGAAGCCAAGATTAAGTGTCTGTTTGTATTTCTATAATGCATAATTCTAACATTTGCATCATATAATGCTAAGTTTCACGTATTGGCTTAAAGCTCGGGTTGTTGATAACCATGTTGACGTTTTCACATACGATTTTGACGTGGTTGTAAATAACCGTGTTAAATATTACCGATCATTGCAATTCTCAAATAAGATATCAATGAACGTCAAAATGGCAATGTCTAAGTTGACTCATCCCATCAATCTTCAGCGCAAGAGACACTCGCGACGAGGGTGATGTGTGAGTCACTCTCAAGTCTCCATTGGCAACTTCCTCATCGAGCCACACCAATCATCTGATGTGATAGCGCACCAAGCGGATATTCCCTAACGCCGATAACCACCCACTACGTGACGCACATCAACCTCAGCACGCAATCCCCTCGACAGCCAGCTTCACGAAAATATCGAACTTTCACACTTCCTCTCACTGAACCTCAGAATATCAGAGATGGCCGCGATACACACCTCCGTCCCGGACGGCCTCATTCCCCTCCTCGAATCCCACCTCCCACACTCTCTCCCCATCCTCCGGCGCTTGCAGTTCACACGCTTCCCCGGCGGCCAACGGCCCACGGCGCGCATCATCCTTGCCGCAGACGCCCCTATATCCTCCGTGCGGAACTTTGCAGCCGCGTACCTCGACTTCGGGAGCGGCATCGAGACCTCGCTCTTTATGTACTCCACCCTCGAAGACTCCTCCGTTTCCGCCGAGGACCGCGAGGTGTGCGAGGCGCAGATCGGTTTGGTGGTCGATGCCGTCAACGCCGTGGCGCGCGAGCAGCCCGAGCACAGGGGGTACCCGGGGCGGTGTCTGGTGGGCACGCTGGCGACGGCGGTGAAGGAGGCAATGGTGCGCCGCGGGGTGGGGATCGAGGCGCGGCAGGAGTATGAGTATGAGAAGTGGCTGTTCCGGGTGGAGGATGTGCGGGAGGTGGAAGTTGAGTTGCCGCCGGGGGCGAGGTGGGAGAGGGCGAAGGAGAGGGATTGTGAGATTGTTATTTCGAGGACGAGTATTCCGCGGCAGGTGTAAGCTTTATGTGGGAGATGGGGAGGGGACGAGCGTGCTGACTTTTTCAATAGGAAGACGTTGTTGACGTTTCCGAGTTTGGTGCTGAAGTTGAAGGATGGGACGCCTATTGCGTGGTCGTTCTTGGGTAGGTTGAAAGATCAGCATGTATGTTGGGGGTGACTGATACTGACTTTGGCTTTAGGGACTGATGCTTCTCTGTCGAGTCTTCACTGCGAAGTAATTTATCATGGCGTGTCTTAGACTAGGAAGTCACATTGCTAACAGTTTGTAGGAGCCTTATCGTAAGAGAGGTTATGCAAAGGCCCTTGCTGCTAAGTTGTTCAAGAGGAGCACGTTCGAGTATGGCCCGGACGGATGGTGTTCTGCGGATGTTGCGCCGGACAATTTGGGCAGTCGAGGGATTTGTAAGAGCTTAGGAGGACGGCATGGATGGAATGTCTCATGGTAAGTTTCTCTTCATTTTGAAATTCGCGTTCTTCTAATGCTGTGCACAGGAACCTGCTGGTGCTTGATGATGAGAAGTAAGCACGTTATCGTCTACATACACCCCTCAACTCCCCAGAGATTACAAATTTTTCCAAACAAAATTCTACCCGCATAGATAACTTCAAAAGACGCCGTATGATGTTTTTAGAAGTTGCGTAGTTTTCTACCACATTGGTCGAAAAAGGTCAAAACGTTGCTCAAACGTTGTGTTTGGCATTAACAAGTGAAACAAAATGACTAGAAATATTATTACTACGGTCTGCATTGGTGTAAAGCACTCAATTGGCATGGGTACAGAAATCGGTGTGATTTCTGATCATTCCGACATATCACAAAGTTTAAATACACACCGGAAACCGCGATATCATAGTTGATGATGTCGTCTTCATCGTCTCTGTTGCAGTCGATTCAGGAACCAGTAACCCGCCTCCACGACGCGCCCCACACCGGGGCGAGGAGGGGGACCGCTCACTCAAAAATCTTCACCTCACCAACAAGATCCCCATACAGCATTCCCACCCCTCAGCCAGAACTCACAGGACATATTTTTCTCATCTTTTGAAATACGAAAAAGAAGGAAAAAAATGTCAGGCTACAACCGCGACACCGTCGTAAACTGCCTCACGCGGCACTACGAGCTGCTCGTGCGGATGGGCTACATGGACGCCTCGGTGGTGCAGCTGCCGCCCTCGGGGACCGGCTGGAGCGACGCCGAGCTGCGCGTCGACGCGCTGCGGGCGATGGGCCGCTCGGAGACGGCGATCGACCTGCTGCGGCACATGCCGTACCTGCGCGAGAACGAGACGGCGGACCCCGTCGAGGTGTACACGGAGACGTTCCCACTGCGGTACCTGCGGGACGGGCGCTGGTTCGGCTCGGCGAGCGGGGAGGACTTTGCGACGACGGCGATGCTGGACTTGGGGTTCGCGCCGTTTGACGGGCCCGTGCCGGCGGGCATGGTCTCGTTGACGCATGCGGACGAGGGGATTTGGTGGCTGGTTGATACGGATGAGGGTTGGTCTCATTTCACTTTCTGTTTTCATCTTTACGCCTTTCTCTTTTTCTGTTCCTTTATATTCTGATGGTCTACGTTTGAATAGACCTGATGAGTTACTAACATTTACACAGGATGCATCTATCCCTACGGCACCGAGTTCGAGGGCGATGAGGATGCGCCCGAGGGAGAGCCGTGGAAGGCTGTCGAGGCCGTCCCGATTGAGACCTACTTTGACAACGTCTACGCGCAGGTGGGCAACTTGGACGTCGTCCCGGCGCCACGGTCGGGCAAGTGGGATGCGCGGGTTGTGGAGGAGCACACTGAGGAGGGACAGGTGAGTTTTGCAATTGAGCACCGAAAACACCATCTCTCGAAAACATGACTCTAACACTGCTCCAGCTGGTCAAGGGCTTGTACCATGAGTTTGGGTGGCCCGATGCATTCCGCAAGGAGGAGTTCGTGCAGGCCGTCGAGCAGAACCGCGCATCATTCCTGGAGGCAGGACTTGGAGACGATGATGAGGACGAGGAGATGGCTGGTTGAGGTGAGCATGAGACAGGCCCTGCTCTCATCACCACCAGAAGCGAACACTTTGAGAATCAATCACTTAGTGCACGGTCTTCGGGGATGGGATGAACCCGGTCTGCGCCGTCGGGCTGTTCAGAAATATTCGGGTTACTCCGCAAGACATGGCGGACAGGGAGACATCAATGACGATATCACGAATGAACATGAAAGACAAAAGCAAAAAGAAGATAGAGGATAGATATCGGATCGCGGAAGACGACCTCGGATGACGGATGTTGACGGTCGCTATCAAAGCGTGTTTATCACATCTTATTCGACCCTGTTCTCATCAATCATCAAGCGCACTGCCTCCCCCAAAACTCCACTCGTTGATGCCAAAATCCACGACGTTCCTGAAGAAAAGAGCCGACCGGCTGGCAAAAAGGGAGGTTGGGGTACATGCTACCCTTGCCGATCCCCAGAAAGGCCTCTCTTTGCGGGGCTCACTTTCTCTCTCTCGGTGAGCAATTGAAGCATTGTGTTTGGAGATTTAGTCATTTGCGCTGCTTCTTATCAACACCGCTCACCTCACTGGCTGCACAGCGTCAAGTCATCCACAATCACCATCCTGGATCTTGGCACCCCCGGGCTCCAAAAGTGAACGCCGACGATATCGGAGAGGGACCCCTCTTCGCTTAAGCAATGACATCGATCTCCACGAATCTGGCGTGCTCGCAGCGAGCTCTCCGCTGCCCGGGTGTGCCTTGATGCTTGAGTCAGGGATCCGGGCTTCTCCAACTCTTCTCAATTCTCCAACGTCAGTGGTCAATGGATTACACCGTCAACGTTGCCTCCATCAAGACCATCCCAGCGACAGACGGGGTCGTCTTGTGAGCGGGTCGTCGGGAAATTGTCGTCAACGAGAGGGGAAACACGAAGCGGCGCAACGCGGAAGAGGAAACGAAAGACCGAAAAAAAAATGCTCTTAAAGATCGGCGGCATCCGGTGCTGCGCATCGGTGTTGCTATGTTCCTCCCTCTTCACCTCCTTCATCCACGGTGAAGAAGTACAGTCGAGACATCACGGAGACGAGGGGTCGACCCAGTCAGTCATCATGAAGTTTTCCTCGTCGCTCCTCGCGGCGTCGCAGGTCGTCCTGTCCCCGGCCGCCGCCGCCGCCTACAACCCGGTCACCCTCAAGGACTACGGCACCTTCGCCGGCACCGTCGTCAACTCGACCTTCAGCGGCCGCGCGCTCCCCGCGCCCGTCGACGCCTGGCTCGGCATGGACTACGCGACGCAGCCCGCCGGGCCCGAGAGCCGCTTCAAGCCCGTCTCCTGGCCCGCCGCCTTCAACGGCACCAAGCAGGCCACCGCCTTCGGCAAGACGTGCGTCCAGGACCCGACCTCCACCGACGTGAGCACCCAGGACGAGGCCTGCCTCAACTTCAACGTCTTCCGCACCCGCGGTGTCCCGTTGGACCAGAAGACTCCCGTCCTCGTCTGGATCCACGGCGGCGCCTTCGTGGCCGGCAGCTACAAGTCCTTCGACGGCGCCGCCTTCGCCGCGTCCTCCAAGGAACCCATCACCGTCGTCAACTTCCACTACCGCCTCAACTCCCTCGGCTTCCTGCCGTCGGCCCTCTTCGAGGAGGAGGGCCTGCTGAACCTCGGCGTGCTCGACCAGCGCCTGTTCCTGCAGTTCGTGCAGAAGCACATCTCCGCCTTCGGCGGCGACCCCGAGGCCGTCACCATCGGCGGCCGCTCCGCCGGAGGGCACTCCGTCGGCATCCACTACTTCCACAATTACGACGCCGACGCCGGCAAGCCGCTCTTCGCCCGCGCCATCCACCAGTCCGGCTCCGTCACCGCCCGCGCGTTCCCCAACGCCACCTACCCCCTCTACGTCAAGCAGTTCGAGACCTACATGGCCTACCTCGGCTGCCCGACGGACGGCGCCGACAACGCCGCCGCCCTGTCCTGCCTGCGCGCCGCCGACATCGACGCCATCCGCAACATCAGCACCCAGCTGTACAACGACTACGACCCGGCGCTCACCTGGCCCTTCCAGCCGACGCAGGGCGGGCCCCTCCTCGAGAAGTTCGGCTCGCAGTCCGGCTACGATGGCACCTTCTTCCACGTCCCGACCATCACCTCCAACGTCAACGACGAGGCAAAGTACTACATGGCCGGCGACAAGGAGACGAACGAGGAGTTCGTCGACTACATGCACAACACGTCACCCGCGCTCAACGAGACCGACCTCGCGCTGCTGCAGGAGCTCTACCCGGACCCGGCCACGCACCCCGACTCGCCCTTCGCCAACTCGCCCAACAGTACGCAGTACAACCGCCTCTCGGCCGCGTGGAGCGACTACGCGTACATCTGCCCCGGCCAGGAGACGGCGTACCGCGCATCGCTCGCCGACGTGCCGACCTGGAAGCTGCGCTTCAACACGAACAACTCGTGGCCCGCGTGGCGCGGCATCCCGCACACGGCGGATACGAAGTACACCTGGGACGAGCCCGTCGTGCAGTACCCCGAGATCAGCCACGTCTACCACGGCTACCTGTCCAGCTTCGTGCTGTCGGGCGACCCGAACACGCACAGGTACCCTGGTAGTCCGGAGTGGCCCAGCTACAAGCCCACCGGGTACGGTCTGGAGTCGGAGCCGGCGCTGCAGCTTGTTGTTGAGCCGAACAACGGCACGAGGGTCGAGGAGGATGTTATTCGCAGGGAGGCGTGTCTTTACTGGAGAGAGCCGGAGAGGGCTCCCCGGTTGAACAAGTAGGTTAATTCACTGTAGATATTATTGGGTACGAAAGGAGCCCTGGTACAGAATCGAATAATGAACAATTCCTACACATCCCGACGAAATTTAGGATGATGCGACATCTTTATGCTCGGATCTCCCAATCGACATCATCACCCAGCCACTTCTCCTTCCACTCATCCGCTAGATTCTCATACTTTTGCTTCTCATCCTCCCGGCCCAGCTTCTCGTACAACATCGACAGCCAGATATACCGCCACTTCGCCGTAATCATCAAGTCCTCCTCACGAAGCACCTCCAAACTCTCCTCTGTAAGCTGGATCGCCTCCTCCGTCTTGTTGTCGTACGAAGCATACTGCGACTTCGTCTCCAGCTCGTGCAGCCTCTTCCTGTTCGCATCCGACGCCGCCACCTCTTCCTCCGGCGCGGTGCAAAGCTTACACCCGCACTCGAACCCCCAGTCCTTCTCCAGGTTCCGCCGGCGGCGCTGTCTTGCTAACTCGACCGGCAAGTAGCTGATGGTAATCTCCTCGCCCTGCGCGATGCCCTGCTCGCCCGCGACGACGGTGCCGGACAGCCCGTCGGTGGGCAGGCGCATGTACGCGTTGGGGCGGCAGTCGTGGTTGATGCGCGCGATGCGCGGGAGGACGGCCATGTTGGGCATGCGCAGCTTGATGGTCAAGCTGTTCGCGTTAAGAGTGTCGAAGACGAGGTTGCCCCTGGCGGTCGGCAGGCGGTGGAGGTCGGCGATGACGGCGGGGGAGGGCAGCTGCGCCATGCTGGCGTTGAGCAGCGTGTAACCGTCGGGCTGCGTCATCCAGCGCTGAATGTTCTTGTCCATGATGAGGGTGGCCTCGTCGGTGAGGATGACCTCGTGCGCGGCGATGGGGCGCGTGGCGACGAGGCCCTTGCCCTTGCCCTCGATGTCGACGACCTCGTACGGCTTGGGAGTGGTCGATCGGGAGAAGTGTGTCTGGCTGGTGGTCTTGGGGAGGATGGTGCGGTTGTTGGCAACGCACTCGAGGATGCTGGCGTCCATGACGCGCTGCTTGGCGATGATGCTGATGCCGTTGGGGCCGTACTGCGTGTCGGTGTAGACGCAGTATTTGGAGGCCGGGTCGGCGACGAAGCCTTTGCAGACCGGCTTGTGCGACCAGACGACCTGCTGCGGTGTGTGGTTGATAGCGAGCCCGGGAGCCTCCAGCGGGCAGATGGACGGGAACAGGTCTGGTGTTGCGGCGCCATCGGGGCCGACGGGGTGCCAGCCCACGAGATCCTCGACCAAGATGAAGGCCTTGAGGATGTGGGCCTTGAAGTCGAGAGCCTTGGGCCATATTTGGCCTGCCATCGTGGGTGGATTGAAGGTACGAGTTTGATATCAACTGAATATTTGGGATTAGACGATGATGAGGGACGACGAGGAAGGGCCACGACGAGGAAGGACGGCGAAAGGTCAGCGCGCGCGTCCCATGACCGTGGTTGAATTGATTCTGCCAACCCTTTTGGCCTGTTTGTCCTCCAAAGTTATACATGAGGAAAAAAAAAGATTTAAACTCGAGATAATCGATATTGCGAACCCTTTCGACCCTCAGATCAAGCCCCTCAAGTACTCATTTTCAAATGGAGAAGGCTCTTTCTGGGGCATTAACCTGTCTACCCAGAGAACCGAATATTTCTTTCGTAAAGCAAGAATGTTGAATTGGTATAGACAGTCGAACGAAACCTAAAGATCGTTCATATTAGAGTACTATCATCGCCAGCCTGATAATTCGCAATCCATCGACATGTCAAAATTGTGAAGACTGTATAAATCCAGACGCGCTTTATGCACACATTGTGACTGACTCGGCCTTCAACTTTGCCATTGACCATATTCACAGGGAAGTTTGAGCCAGAAATGACAATTGCAATTGAAAAAGCCGTTTACATGAAATATTGAATGAGCCAAAGGAAAACGCCACCTTCAATACCGAGTCTCTGGTCCTGTACAGCCAATGCAGCCTTCATCCAGCTCATTAACGGTCAGCCCCTCGATAAGACAGTGAGGGGCACCCTGAGATCGTCACTGAAGGAGGGGTGATGTCACCACACCTGAACCCAGTGAGACATGCAGGTATACTCATCTTGTCGATTTTCTCCCCATTGACTCAATCGCATTGATATCTCGATGCTTTCTCTTGAGACTCACTCACTCGAGGCTCACACAGATGAAGCCTCCCACTTCCCTTCACTCATCACATTTCAGTAGCAGCTAGATGGGCTTATTTGCGGGTCTCCGAATCATCCCCGAGCTCGGGAGGGGCTCTCAGAACGGAACTGGTGCCCCGCGGCCGTTTTTAGTGTTTGACTCATTCTTTCAGGAGAGAAAACTCATTGGAGGCGGCTGAGATTTTGCATTGCGATCACAGGAACTTCCCTCTCACCTCTCAACCTAATCCAACCACAAACACCTCTTCAACCCCCTCCCGACCATCATTCAACATGGCCTCCGCCAAGCACGACCACATCTTCACGCTGTCCTGCCCGGACAAGTCCGGCATCGTGCACGCCGTGACCGGAGTGTTCGCGGCGCAGAAGCTCAACATCCTGGACCTCCAGCAGTTCTCCGACCCCGTCTCGGAGAAGTTCTTCATGCGCGTGCACTTTGGCCCGACCGAGACGGAGTCGACGGAGCACCTCACGGCCCCGTTCGACGCCCTCGCCGCCGAGCTGCAGCTGGACTGGTACCGCATCCGCCCCGTCGCCCGCAAGCTGCGCACCCTCATCATGGTCTCCAAGATCGGCCACTGCCTCAACGACCTGCTCTTCCGCGCAAAGTCCGGCCAGCTGCCCATCGACGTGCCCCTCATCGTCTCCAACCACCCGGACTACCAGACCCTCGCCGGCAACTACGGCATCGACTTCCACCACCTGCCCGTCACCAAGGACACCAAGGCCGCGCAGGAGGAGGCCATCCTCAAGCTCGTCAAGGACAACGACATTGAGCTGATTGTCCTCGCGCGCTACATGCAGGTCCTCTCGCCCAAGCTGTGCGAGGCCATGTCCGGCAAGATAATCAACATCCACCACTCCTTCCTGCCGTCCTTCAAGGGCGCGAAGCCGTACCACCAGGCCTACGACCGCGGCGTCAAGATCATCGGCGCCACGGCCCACTTCGTCACTGCCGACCTGGACGAGGGCCCCATCATCGAGCAGCGCATCGCCAGGGTCGACCACGGCATGAGCCCGAAGGACCTCGTCGAGGAGGGCTCCAACATTGAGAGCCAGGTTTTGGCGGCCGCTGTCAAGTGGACTGCCGAGGGCCGCGTGTTCCTCAACAAGACCAAGACTGTTGTTTTCAACTAAGCTGGATATCCGGGGCGCATAGGGTTATAATGAAAAATAAAAGTTTGGCATTGTCTTTTTGGCGCTCATTCTATGTCTCTCGGCTTCTGCGGTGATTGATCCCCTTTCTCATGACTTGTCGGCTGCTCTCTAAGGCTCGGCGAGACATCTCCGGCGGGCATCTCGTACACCATGTTCTCTACCTCCAGCTCATCCCGGTGCGATGGCGAATGCAGCTCCGCCAGCACCTGCAGTTCTCGTTTCGCTGTGTCAGGGTGTAGCTCAGCTATCGGGATACCGTCTCCGTCCAACTCTGGCTTTCCTCCGAGCGCATGGTACTCATCTCCGGACTGAGCAGCGGCATTTTGTTCATCTTCTTGTTGTCGACGGCGCTTGAAATACCACCACCCTCCGCCGATTGCCCCGCAGATCCCGGCGACGGCCCCGGCGACGATCCCAGCCGTTTTGCTGCCGCCAATTCCCCCGTCGTCCGAAGTGTTATCAAGTGCCGTCCACGATCCCCGCCACGTATCTGCGAAATACTCGGCAGGGTTCGAGCTAAGCATTTCGGCATCGTCATCTACAGCCACTCTCTGCCCCACCTTTGGCCCTGGTGCCTGCGCCATGTAGAACCTCTTTCTGTCGTAATTGTAGCCAATAAAGGCACCTTGTAAGAAAGCTCTTCCAAGAGAAATGGGGTAACTACTGTCCATGGTCATTCCAGGTACCATGTTCAACGGCTTGCAAGGCCAGTACCGCATGTCGGCGCTTGAACCGTTCCTCTCGGGAGAGACACTGAGATGGAGTAGTTTGAAAGGGATCTTGACGGTGAGGTTCTCCGCTGATATGTCAGAAAAGACGAAACTCATGTACGCTGGAGAGTTGACGATTTTGTTGACGCGCTCCGACTCGCCGGTCTCGTTCCAAATATACAAGCTCAGGTCGTTGTGAAAGTAGACCGGCAAGTACGCAGCCGCAGCAGCGCACACGCTTGGCGGCAGGTACAGGTATGGAAAGGCAGCGTCCGGATTGACCATGAGGGAGCCGGAGGGGCCACTGAATCTTTTTACTATGTCCTGCTGGATGTCGGTGATATTGTTCGCATCCCATACGCTGCCCAGTTGCTGGCCAGACGGGAACGGGGAACCCCCGTATTCGACCCCCAGGGCAATGTCAATGAGAAAGACGAGTGGAAAGGCGCTGTATGGGGACAGCCTGAAGGTCGCAACTCTTCCCAATGCACGAATCTTTTCGTATCCGCCAAAAGACAAAGAGATTGCTTGGCTCAGCAGGTTGCTGCCTAGGTGCATGAACCATGAATTCGATGTAATGGACTTGTTCTTGACGAGTTGGTCGGTGATTCCGAGAGGAAACCCTTCGTCGACCCGATGCCTTTCGTAGCTTTCGCCGATGCCTCTTCCCAGGCCGAGGATGCCTACAGGAGGGTTGGAAGTGACATTGATGTAGCTGTTGCTCCATTCATTCACCTCTACAATAGTCATGTTGAAAAGTGTAGAATAACCTTCGAGTGATTCGTCTTCCAGGTAGAGGTCTAATAGGTTGAACCACATCGATGTCCTATAGCCCCAGCTCGCGTACTCTGTCGGCCAGTAGTTCAGTACGTCAATCTCGGAGCCCCTTGTGGTGTAACTGACGGCGTCATTCTTCGAAAGGCTTCCCCGAAAGTTGCCACCAGCGTCTACTGACAACATCTGAGAAGGTGAGTTCCCCGAGGGCCACACACGTGCGCGGTATTCCATTTCGCCATCGACGAATTGGTCGACTGGAAAATAACCACTTAATCTCGCCGTGTTCCATGGCCCATCTACATCACTGCTTGCAGCGCTCCCTTGACCCATCAAAAAGAGCGTCGCAGCGGATGCCCAAGCTGCACTGAACACCAGATGTAATATTCGCATCGTTCGTGGTACGCGGTGTGAGATAGGGTGGGAGATTTGGACGTAAAGAAGCGTTGCTTGGGAGTCGCAGACGGCGGAGGTATGCTCGTGGTGTTGGGCCGAATGAACTGGAATCTCAGACCAAAAGGAGTCGGAAGGAGGAGATCAGGAGAGACATCCCGTCAAAACAGACGCGGGACTCGAGAGCGGAAATTTTAAGAACTGTGCCGCAATATTTTTCCACGGGGGAGATTAGGAGGAGAGCCGATTTGCAGTTTGCAAGGTTGAGGTTCCGGGATCGCGATGTTTGCTGGCTCCAACAGCACCAACGGTTGGACAAGAACCCCGGAACCAGTCCCGACAGTCTGGACGAGCTCGCTCCACTTCCTCGTCTCAGAGGTCTAATCTGAATCTGGGTAGCCGAATAAGAAAATGCATGCCGCTCGTAGCTTGTCCTATGGGGAGTAGCGGCCGTATGCTTGAAAAGCGGTCAGGTGCTGGCTTGGCAAAACAAGACGGAGCTGTACTCGGCGCGGCTTATCTCATCTTGGATTCGGTCTCTCCAAACGAGATAGTGATTGCGCATTGGATAGTAACATGCTCAATAAAAGCCGACTCGATGGAAACTTTATGTTCCTGGGTCTGGTGTTATCAAGTAACCAGTACTAGGTACCTATCTTATGAACATAGCGACCTGAACTCGACGCCATAACAAGGCTGTTCCAGCTCGGTCGCAGACTTCATGTTACCGCACAATAAAATGTCGCTCGAGTTTCCTGAAAATCGAAGTGGTTCAACCTTTCCGCCCCGTCGTTTATTTCAACAGAAGACCATCTCCAGAGCCCAGCTCCACAAACTCATAATCGGGAGCTTTGTCCCCTAGCTGCTCTTCCTCAGCTTCGACAGCTTCTTTGAGGGTATATCGCGTCCTCACGAGAAGAGGTGCAATAAGACCGCCGCCCGTCTTAACTTCGTCATGCGTCGCTATCCAATATTTTGCACCAGTCTCTCCGACGGCCTTGATACCATTCAATGCTCCCAGATTCAGCTGTTTCGTCATCCAGATGCGAACGTCGTGAAGACCGTGAAGTAAGGCTAACGTAGAGAACCCCGACTCACGAACGGAAGTCAAATCTGAAGCTTGGATGCCGTGTGGTGAGTAGAGTATTGTTTCTGGGTTGCCAAGGTCGAAGGCAATCATGACGGCCGAGTGGTAATAGAGTGCATTGCCTGCGGTAACGACGCGGCCGATACCCAGCCAAGATGGCAAACCAGCGACGCTAAGAGTTGACCTCCACTCCTCGGTTGATGAAGAAAATGCTGGGGTTGTTGTAACTGAATCGAAATGATTCCACGACCGGATCAGATCGGCTGCTTTGTCGGTCGCAAATACCGGTGTAGATTTGGGTAGCTCCTCTAGTGTCGCCTGATGGCAGTGGTCCGTAAATTCGTGGGAAATGGTGACTACATCGATGTAAGATTTCTCAGCATCATCTGATCCATCAGATTCGTTTTCGAGGCTGGCAAGCAGTGAGTTCAGCTCGGCCATGGTCTTAACACTGGGCTCGACGAGATGCCATTGTGTCGAGAACCAAGACGCCACATCGGACTGAGGACCCTGCAGCCAAGGGTCGAGAAGTATGTTGAAGCGCTTCCGTCCATCGGGGGCTGACTCGGGGTCAGGATGCGGGAGTTGAATGAGCCATGTGGTATCGGCGTTGAGGTGAATGAGGACGGGCCGATCGTTCTTGAGGGCCTCGGCCCAGGCCGCTCGATCGCTGACCTTCAGTATTTGAGGCGTTGACGACGAGCGGTTGTCAATAGCCATGATTGTTGCTTCCTTATTATTTTGCTCTCACTCACTCGATGACTTTCACGATCAGCAATCTCTCATGCTGCTTAGATGTTGATAGACTGGAAGTAGCGAATGAAGTCGATCTCGGACGGAGGGGTCCGAAAGTCTGTGACGTCGTCCAAACTCGCGTAAGCGCTGCACAGCCGCCCGTCGCATCCTGGCCCTTGCCACGCCGTCTTCAACTCCAGCTGCGGGGTTAGCGCAACGTGGTTATGACCATTGTCCTCAGAACTCCACCAAAGCATCAACGAAAGAAAAAAAATCAATTATGCGCCGACGTTAGATACTAACAAGGTACTAAGACTAGTGAATGTAAATGAGCTTCTTCGCTTACTGGACGGACAGTGATGCTGATAGACGAGATCCTTCAAACCCCCAAACAGACACTTTACACCGAAAGAAAATCAGTACAAGCAAGCGTCCTGACGTCTGGTTGAAGATTGTTGCATCCTTGTTAATTGCCATTGTGATTGCGGCAAAGTCTTTGTCGGGTCTAAATTTGCGAATAACCTCACTTGAGCTGGAGTTTCAAATGGCTGATTGATGCATTGTCCGATGTGGCGCACATATGGCAAAACCCAGCCAACGAACCTGTCTGCAGTTCTTTGCACTCGGCAGTACATGGCAGCAATGTGCTTTGTGCCTGTCGCGTTCGACGCGGCGCACTTCAAGGTTATTTGGTTGCCAATCGGGAAGACCAGAAATGATGCATCATTTCCTCGGGCGACTGTGGCTTGGTGGCTAAGCTGACCACCCAATTGCAGCGTCCAATCATGTCAAAATATATTGCCTTGGCTCGTCCTGCCTAGGCGGCGTTAGATGCCGAGAACCTGTGCCATGAGTGAGACAAAAAGAGTTGGCAGACGCAGCCCTGTAACGCACCCGTCCACCGTGCACATCGGATTTGAGACCGACATGATCGCCAGATTCTTTCCCCAATGAAGCATAAGTTGAACATAACCTCTTCCTATAGAAAAAGACTTCCGTCCGCACATTCAAGCAATACCAGAGTGGAAATCCTGTCTATTGTGGGATCGAAGCTCTGTTACGAGTCTTACACAAACGCACGATGAAGCTACATTCTTTCTCTTTCTCTATTCTCATCGCCGTTCAAGCAGCTGCAGCTGCAGAACGGTTTTGGACTGGAAGGGGACTTGACATGGGACCGTTCGGGAACGACCGGTCCTTTAACAATAATCAGTCAGATGAGATCTACCGGGAAGCCATTACCAACCCGAAAGCTATGCGATCCGTTAAGTTCATCCCATTCCCAGGTCTCATAAGCCCCAAGGTCTACGGAAAAGACCCGTACTGGACTTGGAGTAAGTAGCACTGAGAGGTGAACACGAAGGTAATACTGAAGAAGCCAGCAGGAGTTAACGTGACGGAGTTCGCCTTTCCCTCGGGAATCAACGTTACTGATGCGGCAAGTGGGGTCGAGCAACCCGTCGAAAATCCTTCCTACGTCAGCACAACCTGGGACTTTGCGTGGTCCAGTGGTGGGAATATCTCGCAGGCCTTGGGCAACTCAACAGGCCCGCTTTGCATGTCCATATTGAACATCGTGGCATACCCAGCAAACGTCACCAACATTTACACGGATGAAATGCCAACAGCACTGATTGCACGCCAATATTGGGAGAAGCATGCGTACGGGCAATGCTCAGAGAAGGCAGCAACTTCAGCAGAGGAATGAGATGCAACTCGCCAAGGACGTTGTGGGGCACGCTTCCCGAGTGCAACAATACCCTCGGATATACCGTGAGAGAACGCCTAGATGACAAGCTGTTCAACCGCACCTTTGGCGGCGGCATCGCAACAGCAAACCTCAACCCGGATCCGTTCAACTCGCCAAATGCCAATTCGTCAGCTGAACGCAACAGAACCTTTGGCATAACTAGTGGGAAGGCATTCATGGGCCTTCATAGCGGAGTGATCCCTGGGGCTAATGCCACGGATATATACTTGGCCGCTGCGAATTCTCTTCAACTTCTCATGATCAGTCATGGATTCGGAGACAGAAGTCTTGGAGAAACGCAGCTTCATTGTATGAGGGTGAACACTACCCAGCTGCCAGTGGACGAGGACGAAAACGGAGGGGGGCAAGAGAATGACACTGGGCGTATGCAGTATCACGTATCTTGGACCTTGATGATTGTGGTATTGACTGTACTGCTGGCTAGGTCTACTTGAGGCTGTATTGGGAAAGACTCATTTCTCTTTAACCTAGCGGAAAAGAAAGCCTTTTGGGTGCCAGAAGTCCACGGTGCTAGTGATGTATTCATGGGTGTCCAAGGTCAGTCGTTCATCTTGAATACGCACAGCTTGAAACTTTGACTTGTTGAATAGTAATCTTTTCTTCTGTGGTCCTATCTTCCTGAGCACTGTGCTTTCTCTGTCTTGGCGTACTGGTGTACAGTTTAAAGGACGCAGTCGGTTATCCTTCTAAAGGGGTGTTCATCTCTTGATACCTCTGCCCCGGAGGAAAGCCCCGCATAGCATCTGCACGATCTTTCCAAGCCTTTCTCAATTCTTCCGGAGACCGTGCTTCTTCGATACCGATGTTGTTGACGCAGAAGTCAATCCAGAATGAGTGATCCGGGCTTCTCTGACCGGCATACTCTCCAACGGTATCCAAGGCCTCGAGGACATCCCCTCGCAGGTCATTCACGTACTTGTTCACCTGCGAGACGATATTTCCGATGGTCACGCCGGCATTCGAGGTTGCGCGGATAACAAGTGGTTCTGGTGGTCGATACGGCATTCGGTCGCAGCATTCGCAAGGGACCTCGGTGTCATCTTCCGGGCGATCTACCGTGTGAAGGTCTTCCCATGCATCGCGACTGCCATAATGGTCGAGAATGTCGATTGAAGCCTTCAACGAGGATACGGGAGGATTGGTGTACAACTCGCTGGCAATTGGGTGTAGCGAGGAAGTACCCTCTCCAGCCTGGGTTTGGTACGGGTCCTGTTCAGAGTCCGCATCCGTTGGGTCACGGAGCACTTTGATCTCATAGAGCGGAGCAAAAGCAGGCCATCGGAACCGATTGAACCCCAAGTTGAGAGAAATTGGCCGAGGATTCCGGCGGTCGATGAATGTCTCCAATGGGGGATACAACGGCGCGACCAACGATGTGGGCTCGATAGAAGGGTCTTGCATTATGACAATGTAGGAACGAGTTCATGGCAAGACACCGATGGTAAAGGGAGGATGAAAATTTCGCTGCGAGGCCTCCGAAAAGTTCCTTCCTTTGATTTAGGCACTGATTGCTTGGCAACACTTATTACCCCGGTCCGGTCCTTGTGATGGCCTATGCCACCAACAGTCTCATGGGTGTGTCTCTGCCTCTCTACCTAAGCTCCCCGAAAAATGTGAAGTCTTGCCAACGGTACGACTGCGCTGCCTGCGGAGTAGAGTCATGAACAAAACTGGTGTCATCGTTCAAATGCTCCAAAGCTGACTTCCAATGCCTTGCTAACAAGCTTCCACGTGAAAAATAAAACTAAGCATACCGCAACCTTTCCTGCCCCCATGTCGGCTGCAAGTCTTTAGAGTTGAAGTGAACGTCCAAGGAGCTGGCCCGAGCCTCTGTGATATTCCAATCGATTCCAACGCTGGTCCCGTTCGAAGATTGCGCCCAGACCAGGACCCCAATCACATTATCCCCGTTGAAGTTCAGGATGCCGGGGTGGATCGGGAATCTGGTAGCCGAGTTGACGTACGGTGAGAAGCGACCGTACTGGTACCCATTGACGAACAGCAGGGCTCGCGTCGTGCTGTTGCCTCCAGGAGTACTCAGCTCAAATTGGACCGAAAGATCAACTTCAGCGGGTATGCTCAATGGCACAGTCGTGCGGTAGAAACGGATCGTGGCGTTTTCAAAACCTTCCGATGGAGACGCCGTCGGCCAATTCGAGTCGTCGAAGCCTGGAAGATGCCAGCCAAGCCGTTCAGCAGTCCACCCGCCCTCGTTGTAAGCTCCGCGGACGAGATCAATAATCTTGCCTTCTGAACGACCGGCAGTTCCAGTTAGCTTCCAAGAGTCGAAGCCCTCGGAGCCAATCAGCGTTGCGTTGAGAATCCCTCGAATTGACAAGGCTCCACCAGCTCCTTGATCGTGACCTGAGTTGTCTTGTATGACAGTGAGCACATTGGTTGTGTTCTGCAACAATGTGTCTGCTGGGAAGTCTAGAAGTAGTATTCCGGAGGCCACCTTTGTGCCTGGACTTCCTGGGAATGCCTCCAAGAACCGGCCGTTCAAGTACACTGAAAAGCCGAAGGCTTGACCACCGTAAAGAGTAAGCGATACGCCATCGGCACGGCCAGTAAATCTGCCGCGATAAATGAAGGAACCAGTATGGAATCCATAGTCATCAGCGTAGAGGTACGGAATGGTAGCATCGTTCTTTGAGTTCTTTGTGGTTTGATGATCGGCATTGACCCAGGCTACCCCGTCATCGGAATAGTCGACAAGGACTTCGGGCAGAGAATCTTGAACTTTCCAGGGGCCCAGGCTCGGTAGCTCTATATTCGGTGGTCCCGAAATTCTCCCAATGAGACTGCCGTGTGGTGTTGGTTTCGTGTCGACTGGTTTGCCATTCCAAGTAACTTTCTTGACGTTGGAAGGGGCGAACACTTCAAGCTGAGCGTCGTCAACCGTGTCTCCGGTGATCGCGATCACATCTGAGCTGATTTGTGCTCCGCGGACGAGAGAAGGACCGTGTACCAGGACTTTTGGAGTTAGTCAAGTTTGGGTACCAATGTTCCAAGGGAAGAACCTTACCAGTCTGATTGACCGGCGTCAAAGGATCGTTAGTCAGAGTCGGTGCGAACATCGCATAGGCACCGGATCGATCAACCATGATAACCCTTGTGTCTCCAACGAAGGCGACACTAAGTCCAGGGCCCTGTGTGAACTTCAGTATGGTGCCGTGCTCGGTAACGTTGAACTGAACGTCTCTGCAACCGTCACAAGTCTGCAGCTTCCCCTGGTGAGAACAAGTAAAGCAAACCTCCCCTGACTCATCGGGGTGAACCCAAAGCACCAGCGTCGGCTTTTGGTCCACCACGGCGTAGGTGAATACTTCAGCTGTAGAGTAAAGAAGCTTGTCCCGACCAACTGGAAAATCTGTCACCAGGATCTTGGCAACATGGCCCTTCAGAGACGTCGCCGGCGCAATCTGTGGTACAGTGACGGGCCCAGCCGAAGTGTTGACGTGAAGCTGGAAGGTGACAGGCTCGTCGCTTTTCGAGTCCGTGTGTCGAACAACGTAGAATCTTGCATCTGTGTCTGGATTGTGAAGCTCAGTCGCAGAGACAGATGGGTTCGTTGTGTATTTGCTGCCGCTACCGATGCGGTCTGTCTTCGCCAGGTCCTGGGCAACCCTTGTGAAAAGCGCCAGGTTTTTGATCTCGTAGAAGCTATCCCTGAGAGACCGATCCTCAGCGATGGGTGCAGAATAGTCATAGCTGGTGCCGAGGAAAGGGACGCCAAGCCAGCCCCAACTTGTGCCTCCGTAGGTCATGTACAGGATGAAAGCCGTCATTCGCTGGTCAATGTTGTGGCGGTAGTAGAGGTTGCGAAAATCGGCACCGACTGTGTCTGCGCAGCCATCCGGATATCCAGCAATCGGGACCACTTTCCCGCCCTGGAATTCTGGGCTGAACATTGGACTGCTTGGTGAAGACCTTTGGAAGTCTGGTTGATAGTCTAGAAGAACCCAGTCTCCGGAGCTGCCGGAGCTACATTGATCTGGGTTGCAGCTCCAGCAAAGGGGCTGTCGGCGATGTTAGTACTTTTGTTCTTCAAAGATTTGCGCTGACTTGTGACTTACATAGGAATCGTAACCATGCACGTCGACGTTTCCGCCCGCACCAACTGTATCGTAGTCCGAAGCCCATGAAATGTATCCAGATATGTCATTGTGAGTAAGAGGAATCTCGATGCCGTTGTTGACTGCGACCGCCTTGAGATCTTCCATATAGTCAACAGAATTGTAATTCGGAATCTTCTCGTTCTGATTTGTCCACTGCTGGGGGTACTCATTCTCGATCTGAAAGTTGATGACAGTTCCGTTCTTGTGAATCTGGTACGGGGCGACCAACTCGGCTACAGATGACATGTAGCCGTTCCACGCATCAGTATAGCTCGTGCCGTTCGATCGAAGCTTTCCGTAAGCACCGGTCGTAATCCACAGCGGGAAACCTCCTGCGTTGAGCTCGCCGTTGATGTATGGACCAGGCCGAGGCGTGACGAAGATGCCATGTTTCTTGGAGTACTCCAAAAGAAGCCCGAGATCATGAGCACCACTGGAGAAGTCCAACTCCCCGTCCAGTGGCTCATGATAGCCCCAGTGTGAGTAGAACGACATTGAATTCATGCCCATGGCCTTCATCTTCTCGATGACGTCTTCCCATAGTTGTGGCACGGGAATTCGAAAGGGGTGCATCTCACCGCCGAAGAGAAACTTCCGCTGTCCATTGATGATAAAGCTGTAGTGATCCCATTGTACGGCATCGGTGTAGGTAGTTTGCTTGATCGGCCAGGTATCGTTGTCGGCTGCCTGGGAGCCCCCGAACAAGGAGAGCAAGCCCAGCGCGAAAATTGACAAATGCATTGTAACCAGGCTCGGAAGAATGATTTCGGATGACAACCGGGGATCATGAAGGCTCGAGGGAGCGTGATTAGAAGATGAGCCCTATATGGGGACTAATCTCTAGCTTCAGTCTTTCTGCAATGGGCATCCTAAATTTGATGTTACTCGGGTTATCATTACCGCGTCTCTACATATTTTCCGCGAAGTAACCTGTCATGTATGCGAATCAAGATCTAGTTTGTGTTCGTACTGAGTGATCGTTGTCTTTACATTGCTTAGACGCCACCATTGGATAGCTCTCGTGCGGAGAGATCCTTCACTGCAACCTTCTGTGCATGGTCAACCGGAGCCATCCGGTATGAAATTGCGGGGTCTCGTTGACAAATCTGCCACGGAGCCGAGACTATTTTCTCCGTTCGTCATGAAGCAGTAGCTTAATTGGGGAGGAACAAGACGGTTGGGTGCAACATGAGGTAGCCGCTGTCCAGGATGGGAAATGCATTTCTTGGCTGGCTTCATACACCCAAGACCACACGGTATAACAGGGTGCGAGACATGATGCCCGCAAGTATTCCTCCACCTCTGTTGCATGGCGGTCTCTTATCAAGAGATGCTTCCTCAGCTCAGAAAGAGACCCATCAGAGGCGATGAGCTCGCTTGCGCCATGTTAGCCTGGTCTTGCTAAGATCTCGATTCAGTCAAACCTCTTGCTGAGGCAACCTTCAGGATGGTTTGTATTTGCCCTCCTACGTGCCTTTTCACGAGTTAACGCATAATAGTCGTTCATCGAACCATTCTTTGCATCTTGGAATGCTTCAGGTGTGGCGGCAGACTTCCTCAACAACTTCCAATCCCCGCCCACTCTGTTTCGCCCGTACGTCCGTTGGTGGTGGCCTCACGGCGCCGTTGAAAACGATGAGATCCGGGCTGAGGTTATCCAAATGGCCGAAGCTGGTTTTGGCGGCGTCGAAATCGAGGATGTCCACCACAGCACCAGTGAAGGTACTGAATGGCACACTGACACCAACGGCTGGGCTTCCGAGCCCTGGTTAGACGCTGTCAAGGTTGCTCTTACCGAAGCCAACTCGCGTGGCATGGGCCATGACTTTGCCTTTGGGCCCGCCTGGCCGATGGCAGTTCCGACTATTGTCCCTGATGATGAGGCCGCAGCCAAGGAGCTTGTGCTTGGCAAAAGCATTATCAATGCCACGACTACCTACAATGGTTCTGTTCCGGGTCCTTTCTCCAAGAGAAAGGATGGCGTCAATGAGCAGGAACTAGTTGCTGTCCAGGCTTGGCGCATTAGTCCAGAATCTAATCCATACGGCAACCCGGTGTATCTGGACTTCGGATCCATGGTCGACTTGACCGATGCAGTGACGGATGGCAAAGTCGCCTTCTCCCCTCCAGACAACTCTTCATGGTTGCTCTTCGCCGCTATCATCCGTGGCACAGGGCAACAGCCCGAAGACTATCCCCACACGACACCAGCCTCCTACGTCGTCGATCACTTCAGCGAAGCTGGCGCTCAGGCCGTGATTGACTTTTGGGAAGATCAAATTCTGACGCCGGAGATGCTTGAACTCATAGCCCAGACACCCACCTCGCTATTTGAGGATTCCCAGGAGATGGTCTCTGCTACTTACTGGACACCCAACTTTGCCGACGAGTTCCTGTCTCGCCGCGGATACAGCGTCACGGGTATTCTCCCTGTCATCACGCAGTACAAGAACAACGCCTATCTCTTCCTGTTCAACGACTCGGAGGCGCAACGAGGATCTCTTCACGACTATCACGAGACCATCACCGATCTCTACGCCGACTATCATATTGCGCTCCTCCGGAAGTGGCTGAACTCTCGCGGGATGAAATACAGGGCGCAGCCCTATGGCATCGACAAATTGGACAGCATGAGAATCGCCACAGCGCTGGATATTCCAGAGGGCGAGTCTCTCGGGTTCCAAGTCATTGACGATTACCGCGTCTTAGCTGGGGCAAATAGCTTCGCTGGTGTTAACGTCATGTCGAACGAGCTGGGAGCTTACAACAAGGCCGCGTACGCAACTACATGGGCCAAGATTCTGGGCACCGTCAATCCTCAGTTCGCCGCTGGCCTGACTCATAATGTTCTCCACGGGTTCTCATATATCTACGGTCCGGAAACGTCATGGCCAGGCTGGGGAGCCTTCACACCGTACAAAGGACGCATCGGATACTCCGAGTCGTGGGGTCCTCGTACTCCGACTTGGATGCACGCTTCCGACTTCACAGCTTACATGGGAAGGGCTTCCTACTTCACCTCGCAAGGTACTCCGAAGTATGATTGCGCTTTCTTTCGACAGAATGGAGCTTCCGACGATCACTACGTCGGCCCATACTTCACCAGCGAGGGCGCTCAACTTGGATGGACGACAACGTACGTAGACGAATACTTGCTGCATCTACCATCGGCTGTTGTAAAAGACGGGCGTCTTGCACCTGACGCAGGGAATTACAGCTTGCTTGTTGTGGCAGAAGATCCCGATGCAGGCCAGGCTCAACTCACGCCCACATCAGCCAGCAAGCTGAGAGACCTTGCAGATGAAGGACTACCGATGCTTTTCCTTGGCAACTGGACGTCACCAGGTTCTCTGGGTTTGTCTGAAGCTGGATCTACTGGTGTCGCTACAGACGTCAAGCATCTCTTGCCCTTGAGCAATGTCGTGAACATCGCCAACTCAAGCGACATCCCCACTGGACTCGAGAAGCTTGGGTTATCCCCAGCTGTCACCCACTCTGCGTTCCCGCTGATTCACATTCGCCGCGAATATGGCGACTTCGATCTGTATTTGTTCACTGCCAACTCGTCATCAACGGGTGTGAGCCAAGATGTCTCGCTGCCTATCCGCCATGAACATGTGGCGCCGCTTGAACTTGACCCTTGGTCTGGCGAGGTCAATCTGGCTGGCCAGTATACCATTGTGAACGGCCGGCTCAACATTGGGATGTCCCTCGAGCCACAACAGTCAAAGATTCTCATCGTCGCTCCATCGTCGGCGGATGTCGTACATGTAGTGAATTCCACTGCCGACTCCATCTTCCGCAACAGCACAAGCGGGCAGCTCTTTGTTCGGAATGGTGAAGCTGGAGATCACACGATTGTACTGAGCAATGGTTCGCAACTTACAACATCCTTCAAAGCTCCCCTGGCTGCATTAGACCTCACGGATTGGGCCTTGGAGGTTGATGACTGGCAACCAGCAAATGAGAACCCTTCAGACGACGTGGGGGATATCGTAGCGACTAAGTTCGTTCACCACAGTCTCAACCTGACTACACTTACTCCTTGGTCAGATATAGATGGACTGCAGAATGTCTCTGGGAACGCGACCTACTCGACAGAGTTCGTTCTTGGAACTGCGGATGCACCATACGGTTCTGACACAGGTGCATACATGGAGCTCGACATGTTCCAGGGGTCTTTCAGGGCTAGGATCAACGGGGAAGCACTAGGTACTCTCGATCAAATGGCTCATCGCTTCGAGGTTAGCAAGTGGCTGCGAAATGGCACTAACACCCTCGAGATGGAGGTAGCTACATCGCTGATCAACCGGATGAGGGCTTTTCAACCGCAATACTATGAGCAGTACGCGAGGCAGAAGTATGGCTTGAAGTCTGTCACAATCCGACCGTTCTCACAAGTAGCTCTTTAAGACTCTAATTGACTTATTTCTCATTTAATGTATTACATATAACGCCCCATGTAAATGCGCCCTCAACGAAATATTCGTACATGATTGACGGCGAGCTCAGTGGTCTTGTTCCAACCACGAGCACACAACCGTCCCCAAGAAAAATGATAGAAATGGAAATCAAGAAACACGCGCGCTCCGACACCCGGAAGTGCTGGGCTAATGAGGACCAGTCCGTTTGGGGGGTTACCCGACCACAAAAACACAGCCGAGATCCGAATGGCGCGCGGGGATCTCTTATGCGGACCTGCTACGAGCCGTCACCCAGCACCATCCAGGCATTGTCGAAGACGCCGTGGTTGGCAGCAGCACGTCCTCTCCTACTCCTCGGACGCGCCGTCGCCCAATGCTGTTGCTCAGACGAGGAAGTAAAAGAAGAAAGAGAAAAGCGACCGGAATCAGAATCAGTTGTCAGGTCAGGGGTATCCTCGGTGTCGGAATCGGGAGGGCTCAGGAGCCCGGAGTCAAACTGCGAAGTTGTGAAATCGGAGGAGTCGTCATCCTCGGACGGGGGCTCGTCCAGGTCAGGCGAACAGAGATAACGGGCGAAAGATTCGTCGCGGCCTAGCTCGGCGAGCGAAAGGTCCAACGCCAGCTGTAAATTATCTTCGTACGAGCGGCGTTGAGCCTGACTCCCGCGCGCCCGCTTGGCGGGACGGACGGTGTACTCAGGCTCAGGGTGCGCGATTGAGCCCAACTCGAAGCCCTCGCCGCGGAGATGCTCATCGTCGTAAAGGAGACCAAGGCGATAAAGTTCGTCGAGGCCTTCTTCGTCTTGATTGGTTCGACTCCTGGTCGTGCCGGAGAGCCGGAACGCGCCCTGCCGCTCCAGGGACGGGGTACGGCGCCGTTGTGGGGCCTCGCCCGGAACTCTAACCCCGTCGAGGGCCGCGGGCTCGCGGCCCTCGTCCGTCTGGTCAGAGCGCCATTGCTGGATGGAGCGGTTGGTCTGCTGGCGCCGGCGGGTCCGGTGCCTTTGGGCTCGTCGCTGGTGGTTGGCGTGGAGGACGAGATCGAGGAGGTGGAATCGTTGGTCGGCGTATTCTCTGTTCAATGACAGAGAGCCGTCGGCGCGGAGGAATGCGCCTTTGTAGTGCGCGCGAGTGCGCGGGTGGGTGACCTGCGAGGGGCCTTGGGAGAGAAGATTTAATGCATCGGCGCTGTTGTGAAGTGAGAGACCCATGGTGGCGGTATTCCGGGAGGGGTGCTTATATGTGTGGTGGGTGTTTCGATCGGTGTAAGTGAGGTGGACGGGAGTGTCCAGAGAAGCTGATCGAAGTGGGAAGAGGGAGGGTCTTCGCCGAAGGGCGTGGGATGAGGGCGCAAGGGCGCGTGGCTTGTTGCCGTTTTCTTGATGTGTGCGTGTCTTAGCTGATGATAGAACGTCGGCGAAGGAGGCAGATATATATGGCGAATAGGCTGCCTGGTGTTGGGCTGACGAGTGTTGGTGATGTTGCGCCTACGTGTGGATGGATTGGGCATGGTGTAGGCTGTTGTCGTAGGCGTCTCTCGAACCCCTGCACATTGGCGGCCGAACGCTCGTCTCAGGGCCTCGCTGTCGACTTGTTAGCGGCCATTTGGGGTCGCTTAGGGAGGGTTGCGGCGGCCGGTGATTGGGAGCCGGCTGGATGGCGGAGAGTGAGTCATGCTTGGCGATGATGAGGCGGAGTGCGCGGTTGGTTACCTGGCAGGCATGCTTACAGGGCTGGTGACTTGGAGGCAGGGTTTGCAGAGGCCAGATTCCGGGGCCGAGAGGCATCCCACCTGGAGTGCTGTTTTCTATTGAGAGTTGGTGGTCTGAAATGAAAGACTGAGGAAGAAACAAGCTCACATGCACAACGTGGCGAACGGGTAGCTTCGGCGGCAACACCGGAGTGAAGTTCCGGGGGAGTCATGGGTGGATGAAACCCGCTGAACGGAGCATTAAGGCCGAAATACAGCGAGCACATGGCACCGCGGACAAGTTCAAGATAACACAGCTACATGCTGTTCTCTTGGTGAAACACAGAGATATGATTCATCCTGAAGATAACGTTATTGTCGGATGTTCAATCCGTCTCGCATATTTGCCTGTGTTGAAGCGGTTATCACTGGGTCGATAGACCCGAGGACGCGGATTAAATCACTGAACAGGGCGTACAGCGATCAATTGGGTTCGATGCATGCTTCGATACCCGATGTCTGACGCAGCACTGCCCTGTGACTCGAACATCCTTGCCGCAACAGCACTAGATAGCCATTGTTCGACGAGGTTTTCCAATTCGTATTCTTGATTGGACAATTGCAACTTAAACACCGTTCCGGAAAACTGGTTTGTCCAATTCTTCGATGACGAAAACTGCTGTTGTTCACACAGACGCTGTGCTGGTCTCCCCCCGCTAGACCCCAAAGGCAAGGCACTCACACTACGCGGCCAGGATACAAGCGGCCGTCACATTAATCACGAGGCAGTGTCAAATTTTCACGGACACAATGGTACAGCAACCAACAGTCTTAACACCAAAAGCACCAGGATGTGCTCTCTCATGTATTCGCTACATAGGTAGATGAGTCCGCGACCTCCACCACACCCTTACTGCGAGACCCGAGGCGAGCGACTTGCTACCGAAGGAGCTATTGTCGTGTCGGTCGCCATCGTCGTCGTCGTGTCGCCGAACGACTTGTTCGATTTGTCGTGGTACACTTGAGATACTGACACCGTGCGGCTGCTTGACATTGATGAGCCCATTGCGGATGCCACGGCGTTCGACAGGTGAACAACCTTGGAGGGAAGCGTTTTGAGGAGCTGGCGCACGTTGGGCAGGCAGGCGACGACGACGCCGACGCCGAGTTCCACGTAGGCCCAGAGTACGACTGCTACGGAGTCGGCTGGAATGTGTTAGCAAACAGTCATCTAGTGTGATAAGATGTGTCCATACCAGTCGTGTTCAATGACGTTGCAAAGGCGGTCAACGTCTTGATGCGGAGGATGCTGACGATGGTGAGGCTGGTCGGGTGTTAGTTGTGATGTACCCATCGACGCCATTACGTTCTCAAAACTCACAAGATACCGACAAGGAACATGGCAATCACTCCGAGTTTCTTCTTCCTGTCCATTTGAAGCTTGTAGAGCTGGGTGATGGGAAGAATGAGCATCACAATGTCGAGAGTGATGTTTAAGGCAACGTGACTGAGCCCGACACGGTTCAGGTCCAAGCACGTCCCCTCGTGTTCTCCATCCCAGCCGTTCCAGAAAAAGTTGATAGGCTGGCATTCGCAAAAGCAGAGGATGATGAAGGATAAACCGACGAGCAAGTTGAGGCCCTGCATCAGCCAGAGGATCTTGCGGAAGCGATTGTCCGGGAAGATCTTGAGGAACAAGAACAAAATTGAGGCCTTGATGGAAGCGAGACCGATGTAGTAGAAGAACTCAAGGACGTAGAGGAGCTGCTTCAAGATTAGCACTCATCAACATTTTGCACCCATGAATGCCTGATTCCACGGACCTTTAAGAAGTACGTGATGCCGTAGTCGTGAAGCGTCCAAATATCTCTGCCAAGCCCAGCACGAACGACTAAATTGAGGTTAGCCAGATTTCGTGAGGATATATATGTCCGCTGGTGTTTGGATACTCACAGAAGAAAAGTTCGATGTAGTAAGCGATGACCATGCCCTGATGAGTGTCAGTGCCTATAGCCTCGAAACAGAACTGGTAGTCTTACAAAAGCAATCATGATGACAGTATCATCAGCTCCCCACACTGAAAGCTTCATGGCCTTGGAAGCAAGCCGCATAACCATGAAGGCGACAGTGACGACAGTCACAGCGCCGCTGATCCAGTATATCGTGGGTCTCTCATCCGTGAGGGGGAAATGGCATTGCGACCAGGTGGCATTCGTGGAGACTGTGTGTTCTGTTAGATGGACCGATCTACCACGCTGTTCGTGATGTTGATGTACTCACTCAGGATCTCTTTGATGCTACATGTCTGCTGGATGCATGGTCCCACGGCTGCATTGAACTTTGGATCGACGCAGAGGCACGCTGCGTCGGTGGCAGGACACGTTGACTGCGTGAGCGCCTTGATCATGCAGCTGACCTAGTAGATACATGTCAGCGACGACTAAGGCCATAAGACTGCTTGCATACTGCACAACTCGGGACACCGTCCAGGTCAATAGCCGCTGAGGCCATGCCCATGAACCCCAGAAACGCCAGAGCGATAGTAAGAAACCGCATCTTGGCTGTCGGCGGTGATCAATATCGAAAGATGCGTTCGTGGACCCGGATCTCGAATTCGTGCCGTCCTGTGGTGTTCTCAGGGTCTCATCCCACCGGGCGGTAGTCAAGACAGTCAGGCACAGAACAAGGACATGCCCAGGAATGGCGAGCATAATAAAGGACGACGGGACAAGAAAGAGGGGTGCGCAAATGACGATGCAGACGCCACATTCTGCTCAGTTATTGAACTACCGATCAGTGAGAGACAGTCGCAGGGACCACAAGCCAGCGAGAGCTCCTCGCGCCGGCCTTTCTGTGGCTTGAAATTCCCTTGTCTCTAGACCTCTAGCTCCAGCTCGGCTACTAGTCGATCTGGAGATTTTACTCTAGTAACCTCTCGCCATCTAGATCGGGGAAGGTGTTGGAGGCCCGGTGCGGGTCCCGGAAGCCGCGAGAGACCGGTGTTGGCAGACCAAGCTGTGGAGTTGAAGGCACGCAAGGTCTCATTGGGAGAATCCCCAGAATTCAGGGGAACTACTCAGGGCTGGAACCAGCAGTTATCGACGGCTACAAACTCCCGTGTTAGCTGGCGAGCGGCTGCTGGCTGCTAGGGGTTGTGGCTTGACAGCGCTAGGCTGTATTCTGGAGTCCTCTGAAGATCTTCATAGCCACAGTCCGGTGATGCCACAACGCGAGTACCCGAGTCTTTCGCATCTTGGTCTCTTTTGGTAAACTCTTCGTGTTTCTTGTGACGCGGGTGACCGTTGCCGGTTGCTTGAGTGGACCGCCACAGTCTTCAGACACGCGAATTCCAAGACATGGAGGCACCGCATTCGGTTCCAAAGGCCTGGACCATGTGAACGATCTTTACGAAAGCAGACTTCAAAGGCACCTATGTATGACGATGTCCGAATGCTCTTCTGGAAACCGACAATCGATGTTTGCGAATTCAGGTCTGAAATACCTCCAATATCCGTACATCAGAGATGGTTTGTGCGCTCCGTTCATCACACAACATGCATGCTGCTAACGGAGACACCCGGCCTTTGAGGGACCACAGACAGCACCATGTTATACCCGTCGCTGCCCAGGACATCCGGGCTACTCCTTGAGACTAGTTAGCCACTAAGGGAACCAGCCGCCATGTTAAAACATGTCGAGATTTTACAGAAACTATCATATCATCACAGAGCGAGCTGCAGAAGGGTTTCAGATGTTTGCATGGATAAAGATGAGGAAACAAAACATGTGATCTTGAAGACTTCGTCATATCGTGCCAGATATTGCAAGACCTTCTGATCGAGCATCACAATAACACAGTGATGTTGCAATCCTCCAGACGTTTTTCATTTTTCATGTTCAAAATATCAAGGCAAGATTGATCTATCCAAACAAGTCTCTAGTCTGTGCACCCGGCAGTTCGATGTCAAACAAGAGCAATCTCACTGCAAGGGGCATTCGCAGTACCGTGCCCCTTTTCGCGCTCTTGTAGATGATGGCGCTAGCAAAATCCTTGACGCCACTCACAAACTAATACACAAAGACGTTGACCGGCCCGGAACCGTTGGGCTGGGAACGCTGCATCGTTCTGTTATGAATGGGTGTTCCGGCGGATCCTCAAAATCTTAGTTGGCCCCAAGAATCAGGGTCACAGCTGCAACAAAACGAGATTCAAAGGGCTGGAATCGTTTCAATGAAAGGATCTTGGTCATATCTAGCAATGTCGGATCAACACTAGGTTAGTATTGTTTATCTTTTGAATGGTGCACCTGAAGTATAAGCCTACTAGAATTCACAAAATGGTTGTCCAACTTGCGTGTGCCTGTCCACAGTTGAGATAATAGGACATTAGATCAAGATGATGTAAGATTGATCGAGAAGACTCCAGATTCCATTTATACACGAATTCTTCATGAGACCACTATTGCATTGATCTAAAGGTGATACGGAGGCTCTGCGCCTTCCACCTTAGAGTAGACAGCAGTAATAGCAGCTGCAAGATCCTCGGGAAGAGGACCAGCCTCAAGTGCGTCAAGTGTCGAGTGGAGTTGCTCTATCTTGGAAACGCCAAAGATAATCGCATCGCCATGTGCCACATCCAAACTGCTGTGGAACGCCGTCCATCTCATAGCGGCTGCGTGTCCACTGATGCCGTGCTTCTCTGCAAGCTTGAGAATCGTCGACACCGCAAGACGGACTGGAGGTTTTCGGTACATGTAAGTGTAAACCTTGCCAATGAAGTTCTGTTCTAGTGTTAGGGTAGGTGAGACTTTCATGGCATGGACTGGAACTTACATCACTCTTCCATCGGCCTGATGAAGCCTTGTGTCCTGAGAAAAGGCCACCGGCTGCGGGACTGAGAGGACGTCAGACTGAGTTCCCTCATAAAATATTTGATGACATACCTGTACGCATAGAACGCCATGTTGTGCTTGCGCAACAGGGGAAACAGCTCCTTCTCGCCTCCTCTCACAATAGCATTATAATGCCCCTCGTACACACTGGGCTTCGTGTACCCATTTTGCTCACAGATCTCCAGAACCTTCTGCACCTCAGCCGCAGAGTAGTTCGACAGGCCGTAGTTCTTGAACTTCCCTTGCTTCAGAGCAGCGTCCATTGCTTTTACCGTATCCTCGAAAGGAGTCTGGCGATCCGGAAAATGCAGGAACATCGTCTCGACGGTGGATGTTTGAAGATCGGTCAGCGACTTGCCAATGCTGACTTCGAGGTTTGCAGGCTGGTGATCACCGGGGTCTGCGCTGTGGACTTTGGTGTGGATGGTGAATCGCGAGGCGGCGTTGGCCCGACCAAGGCGTGACTCGGAAGCGCCCTGGACGCTTGGAGAGTAGTCACGAGCTGTGTCCAGGTTGTTGTATCCGCGGGCGTGGAACGCATCCAAGAGAGCCTGGACATCTTGTTCGCTGTCAAAGTGAGAGGATCCGGGATCGACAGCGGAATCGCCGACCTGGCGTGATTTCAGCAATATTCACTTGGTGTCTTGTTAGGATGCTCACGCTGTGTGTTCCAAGAATGATCTTGAGGGGCGTTTGGGAGGCCATGATGGGTAGGAGTAGGTGTTGATTAAAGGAAGGTATTGTCGGATTTCAAGTTGTGACGAAACACTCACCTTGACATGAGGTGAGACAGACGGTGTTGGGTCTTTATATGCGCAATTCCTACATGACAACGTTGTATTGTATTTTCTCTGACCCAATTTTCAATATATCGGGTCGATCACCGCTTGTTGCTACGCGATGGCCAGGGGAACAACCGCAAGCTCCGCAGCTTCGTCCCCTGTTTTGCACTGTGTTTTTTCTGCACAGCGACCAATCGAAACAGGCATGGTACTGTCGGTATTTGGGTCAATGGCGCCCTGTCATGACTCTGCATCCACTGTTGTCCAGGGTCACCATACCTGTGAGGGGCTTATAAATGTCATACTTATTGTAACACGTCAAACTGAATCCACACTGTGGAGCACGGGAATGACACCAATGCGACGGAAAGACCAGCCTCTTGTGTGATATTTAAGAAAAGGGATCAAATACGTACATGTGTCAGGGATCGAGATTGCAACGGGATATGAGCAAAGTATATCATATTTGAGATAAATGCAGTAAAAGAGAGCCGTCGGCGAAGAGGGCTGCAGAAGCACGCTAGCTGAGATATGAACATCACCATGAGAAAACCTCCTTCATCCGGAGGGTAAGCGGAGAGACCGCGAACGAAAATACCTTTTAAAACAATCCGAAGAGTTGAGGAAAGTTCGAGGACCTTTATACTACATATGGTGCCTACCGGCTTACGAGTAAACGTGACATGTATAATCTATAAACAGCTAATTCCAATCTTTCTATTATCCCTCTCTGTATTCCCCCTCATGGTATCTAAAACAACTAAAGAAACACTTTACTCCGCCTTCGCGCTCGGGCGGAATCTTGACGTAGCAGCCGCCTTTCCGGCAAGTTGCTTGATGCGCTGGCCGCTGGTAATCTCGAAGACCGAGATATCGGCACCAATCTCCTTGGTCATCCACACGCGAAGCTCGACAGCCACAAGCGAGTCGACACCGTAGGCGTTCAAGGGCCTGGAGGGGTCGAGGTCGGCCAACTCGTAGCTGAGAATCTTGGACAGCTGCGCCAGCAATGTGTCCAGGACGATCTGCTCGGCATCCTCCAATGTCTCGGCGGCCGAGATCAGGTCGCCAACCGAGCGCTTGGAAGAGCCCTGCTTTCCGGGCAGCGAGCCGCCGTTTCCGGCGCCCTGCAGAACCAGGTGGTTGTACATGGGCTCGGTCTGCCAGGTAGGCTGCTCAGCGCCCTCGTCTGCGGAGTACTTGGGGAGCCACAGTCTGGGAACGACTTGGGCCTCCTTGACCTTCTCCTCTGCGCTCTGCGAGTTGGGGCGGCAGTAGTAGTCAAGCGCGTTGATGAGCTCCTCAACGGACATGGACGCCCAGCCGATGGAGAGCAGGTAGGTCCTCAAATGGGGTCTGGCAGCGACCATGCCGGCATCGGTCAAGACGGGCGCGTCGAGGGCGGCGACGTTGTGGCCTTGAGCGGAGAGGAACTTGGCGAAGGCATCCTGGAACGAGTTTCCGGCGCTGTAGTTGGCCTGGCCCTGGTTGCCGGTGACACTGGTCAGGGATGACAGCATGACGAAGAAGTCGAGCGCAGAAGCGCTGGAGAGCACCTCCCACAGGTTCTTGGTTCCGGTGACCTTGACGTTGACGGCAGTGTTCCACTGGTCGAGAGTCATCTCGCCGAAAGCATTGTCCTGCAAAGGCGTTAGTTGGATTCTTAGGAAATGACGATTCGTGAAAACTTACGTTGAGGACCGTAGAAGCTTGGATGCATCCACGGACTGGAGGCAAGGAGGCAAGAGCAGAAGAAATCGCGTTCTCCAGAGCCTTCTTGTCAGTGATGTCGCAGTGAGGAGTGACAATCTTGACGCCGTTGCCTTGCAGCTCGCTGACGAGAGCCTTGGAGGCCTCATCACTGGGTCCCTTCCTTGATGTGACAATCAGGTTGCGCGCGCCCTGGCTGACCATCCAGCGGATGATCTCCAGACCAAGACCACCGAAACCACCAGAGACAACGTAGGTGGCATCAGAGGCGAACTCGGCACGGGGCTTGGAGGGCGCAACCACAGGGATGAGATCCTCGGGGTGGTTCTCAATGAGGATCTTGCCGATGTGCTTGCCCGACTGCATGAAGCGCATGGCATCCTGGATCTTCGAGACAGGGAACTTGGTGATGGGCGTCTCGATCTTGAGCTCGCGGCCAATGACACTCTCCATGGCGCGTGCGAAGAGATCGTCAAGGCGGTCGGCGTCCGTCTGGCGCATGTAGTTGAGCTCGAGAGACTCGAATCTCACACCGCGGGCAAAGCTGCCCATTGAAATGCGAGATCGGGACTCAATGTCTGCCAGACCAATCTCGGCGAAGCTTCCGAAGGGTGCGACAAGTTCCCAGGTGGCGCGGAGGGTGTCGCCGGAAAGACTGTTAATGACGATGTCGACGCCACGGCCACCAGTCATTCTCTTGATACCGTCCTTGAAGGTGAGGTCACGGCTGGAGAAGATGTGGTCGCGGGGCAGTCCGTAGGTCTTCTCGAGGAAGTCACGCTTCTCGATGCTACCAACCGTCGCGAAGATCTCGACACCCTCGCGCTGGGCCAGCTGGATCGCAGCCTGGCCGACACCACCAGCGGCAGCGTGGATCAACAAGCTGGGCTTCTTGCCGCGGCGCAGGCGCTTCTCGAGGTCGCCGATGTCGTAGAGACAAGCGTACGCCGTGGTGTACACGATGGGGATGACTGCAGCCTCGGCGAACGACTGGTTGTCGGGGACCTTGGCTAGGGTGCCCTGCGCACCTCTGCCGTAGGTAGAGAACGCGCCGTTGAAGGTGAAGCCGAAGACACGGTCACCGGGCTTGAAGCGGGTGACTCCAGCACCGACTCTGGTGACGATACCGGCGGCCTCGAGACCGACAGGAGTCTCCTGGATCTTACCGAGCATGACGGCCAAGTCCTTGAAGTTGACGGCGGTAGCCATAACCTGGAACTCAACCTCGAGATCCTCCAGGCGAGTGGAGTACAGATGGTCGTCGGTGAAGCGCAGCGAGCTAAGGAGACCGACGGTCTGGATCTGAAGGCGCAGAGGGCGGCTGGGGTCGGCTCCAAAGGCGACTTCGGTGGTGTCGTCGCTGGAAGTCTGCTTGATGTGCTTGGTGATCGCCGAGGCCTCGACAAGGCGAGGAACAGTGATCAAGCCGTTGGTGACCTTGTACGCGGTCTCGATGGGGCCCTCGGTGCTCGACAGGCGTGCATCGACCTCGGCGATCTTGTCGGCAACAGTTTCATCACCCTCCTTGGGGTCAAAGGTGAGAGTGACAAACTCAAGCTCGGGCTTCTCCAGACGAATGCTGGCAGCGAAACCGTTGATGAGGGCAGACTTGGGAGACAGCTCCTTGTTGACCCAGAGCAGGCGCTTCCCGGTGGTCATGTTCTTGACAGCTGAGAGGACGGTGGCATCGGCAGAGGCAAGAAGAGGCGATTCGAGTTCCGAGAGAACAATGTAAGTGCTCTCTGTAATCTCTCCCTCGAGAGCGAGATCAGCCACCGCAGCGGTCTTGACCGTGGCGCCCTTGTCCTTCAGAGAGGAAGCCAGCTTCTCGGCAACGGCGCTCTGGACGCTGGAAGAGAGATCGCCAACGATGAAGTAGCTGCCAGAAGCCGACGTGCCACTGGTGCTCTTGGAAGTGCTCAACACCAAGATCGACGAGTCTTGGTCGGCAAGCGCAGCATCGATGCTGACAAGTCCGGACTCGCTGAAGTACTCGCCCCAGGTGCTGGCCTCGTCTGAGCTCTCGGCCGCCGTCAAGATGAACTTACCGCCGGCCTTGAGGAGACCCAGACACCTGTTGAGGAAACCATCGATGTCATCGTTGGGAATAAGGCCAACGGGCACAAGGAGAGCATCATAAGATGCCGACTCGAAGCCCTGGGAAGCAGGCTCGTCCTTGATGTCGAGAACCTTGAACTGGACAGACTCCTCCGCGATGTTCTTCTGTGCTTCTTCCAAAGAGGAAGAAGAATCGGCGGTGAACTCGTACTGAGAAAAGCGCTGGCCCAATGTAGACGCAACGGCCTTCGTGAAGGCGGCAGTGTTGCTGATATCGAGGATCTTCATGGCGGGGTTCTTGTGAGCAAGGGCACTCAGGTACTTCTGGAAACCCTCAGGTCCGGTGAAGGCCTTCTCAATCGCCTCGGGGTTGAGGAAGTCGGGGTCGATCTTGTAGTCAAAGTTCCATGCCCTGTGTCTGGGGTCCTCCTCGGAGGTTGCGTCTTCATCGCCATCAACCTCGGTGACAATGCATCCCGACACCTTGATCATGGGCTCCTTGGAGGCAGGGTCGACAGCAGTGCAGGACATGAGGTGCTTCTTGCGACCGTGAGAGTCAGAGTCCGCAAAGACGACGTAGCCATCCTCCCTGTGCTCAGCAGTGGAGACCCAAAGCTCCTCCATGAAGGAGAGGACGATGGCGTTCTTCTGCTTCCTGGAGGGGTTGGAAACGAGAGGGACCAGGCATGCCTGAAGAGCACCGTCCAGAGTGGTGGGGTGGATCAAGTGCGGCTGCAGGTAGTTGTGAGGCATCATCGTCTTCAGGAGAGCGGTGGTGGGCTTGACCCTGGCCAGAGTGACGCCGGCGTCGTGGTCGACAACAGCGGACTCGACGGTCTGGAAAGTAGGGCCGAAAGTCAAGCCGACACTCTCCCAAGCGCCGTAGATCTTGTCAGAAGTGACTTGGCTCTTGCAGTTCTGTCGAGCCTGGTCAATCCTGGCCTCGCAGTGGGCCTTGAATGCCTTCTCCTCAAGGCCGCCGTCGACGGCCGTGGCACCCTCATCGTACTCGACGAGAACCTGACCGCAGCAGTGCTCACGCCACTCGTCATCCTCCTGGGCGGTAAGAACTTGGAACTCGCGCCAAGCAGCAGCCTTTGCCTCCAAGGCAGCCTGCTTCACAGGGCGGAGGTACAAGTGCGACTCAATGCCCAGAGCGCCCTCGGGAACCTGCAGGGCGGAGTGGAAAGAGACTTCACGGAAGCGGATTCCCTTGATTGCCTTGCCTGGGTTCGAACGCTCCGCAAGCTGCTTGCAGCCCTCAATGGCCATTACGAGCATACCAGCAGCAGGGTAGAGCACTGAGCCGGAGATGGTGTGGTGCTCAACCCATGGGTTCTCCGAAAGCTTGATCCAGTTCTTCCAGATGGCGTCGTGCTTGCCGTCCCAATCGTTGACAGGAGCTCCGAGAAGCTCGTGGCGAGGGTAAGGGCGAAAGCGGAAGTTTCTGCTGAGACGGCACTCGTTCCAGTACTCGCGAGTGTGGTTGAAGGGGTAGCGAGGGAGATCAATCATCATCAGCGGCTTGGCTCCGGGGACGTGGTTGACCTTCAGAAGATCGACCTGGATGCCACGAGTGAACAGGGATCCAACTCCGGCCATGGCCATCTCCACGTCAAACTCGCCACGCTTGAGAAGGTGGTGGTACTTCACATCACCGTTGACTCTAACGTCCTGGACGATGTTGCGCAGAGGTCCCTGCAGAGCCGCATGGGGTCCGACTTCGACGAGGTCGGTGATGAGAGGTGACTGGTTGCCATCGGCGTTGGGCTCGGACAAGGCTTGGAGCATAGCCGTCACCGACTCGTTGAATCTCACGGGGGAGGTGAGATTCTTGGTCCAATAGCCGGCGTCGCGCAGCCTAGAGGGTTGAATCTGCGTTCCGTATGCGGACGAGAAGAACTGCACTCCAGAGGCCTCAGAACCAGGCTGGATCTTTCCAATGCACTCGGTGTACTCCTGGGCAATGGGGTCCATGAATCTCGAGTGGTACGCCATCTCAACCTTCAGCTTGCGGGCGAAGACCTTCTCCGCGCTGAGCATGTCGACAAGGGCCTCGATCTGCGCAACGTCTCCGCTGACAGTGTGGCTGGTCTTGCTGTTCATGCAAGCAACAGTGAGCTTGCCGACAGACTCAAAACCGGTCTTGTTGACGCGGTCAATGGCATCCTGCGTCTTCTCGAGACACAGGCCGACAGCAGCCATCGTACCCTTCGGCTGCTCCGGCGAGTTGGCCAGCTTGGCGGACAGCTTACCACGCCAGTACGCAATACGCCAAGCACTCTCCTGAGAGATCGCGCCAGAAGAGTAGGCGGCCGCGATTTCACCGGAAGAGTGGCCGACAACAGCACGGAAGTTGACACCCCAATCGTTGAGGAGGTCGACCAGAGCGACCTGGAGAGCGGTGCAGAGAGTCTGCGAGAACTCGGCGGCGTTGACGCGAGAATCATCGGCAGTCTTCTCGAGCTCCTCAATCGCGGACCACTCGCATCCCAGCGTCTTCAGGTACGCGTCAGCGCGCTCGATGCTTGCCCGGTAGACATCGTAGTGCATCAGCTGCTTGCCCATGCGAGCCCACTGGGCGCCCTGGCCAGTGAACACAAACGCGACGCCGGGGTCAGCGACAACGCGCGTAGCTTGTTGACCTTCAGCCAGGGCATTCTCCAACTGCACTGACGAGCTGGCGACGACCGCGGTGCGCCAGTTGAATGTTGACCTCTTGGCTGCCAGGGTGTAGCTGAGATTGTACAGGGACTCAGTCATGTTGGGCAGGTAGGTCTTGTAGGAGTCGGCAAGACGAGCAATACCATCCTGGTCGTGACTGCTGAAGACAAACAACTGAGGAGAGAAGAGAGAGCCGTTGATGACAGGAGGTGCCTTGATAACTGCGATCGCGTGTTAGCACATGCTTCAACAAGCGCAACATGGTAAGACTTACAGGATGTGCCTGGCAGCTGGGGCGCTTCGATGGTCCTGTGAGGCGCCTCGAGGCCGCTCTCTCTCAGGAAGGTGAGCGCATCTTCCAAGACGACATGGGCGTTGGTGCCCGAAACACCGAAAGAGTTGATGGAGACTCGGCGAACGCCAGTCTTGGTCTGGGGCCACAGCATGGCCTTCGTCGGGAAGTTAAGATGCCACTCGGCTGGAATCTTGGGGTTTACTTCCTCGAACCATGCGTTCGCAGGAATGATACCCTTCTCCACGCACAGAACGCCCTTGATAAAAGACGCAATACCGGAGTTACCCTCAGTGTGTCCGATGTTGCTCTTGAGGGCACCAATGTGAAGAGGCTCCTCGGCCGAGCGGAACTGAGAGAACATTTCACTGATGGCGCCGGCCTCCGTTGGGTCACCGACGTTGGTGCCGGTTCCGTGGGCCTCGAAGAAGCGCGTGTCTGCGGGGTCAAGCTTGGCTTGGGCATACGTCAAGCGCATAAGCTCAGCCTGAGCCTCCTTCGCGGGGGCGGTAAGACCGGGCGAGTGACCGTCGTGGTTGCATCCAGAATTGCGGATAACGGCACGAATAGCTGGTGATAATGTCAGCGTCGCGGCCAGGTAAAATACGGGGAAAAGATCAACTCACTGTCTCCATCGCGAATGGCATCGGACATCCTTTTCAGGACGACAGCAGCGATACCTTCACCTCTTCCGTAGCCGTTTGCCCTCTTGTCGAAACTGTATGAGGCACCGGCCGGGTCCAAAACACCAAGACCATTCAGCTCCAGACCCATTTCAGGGGAAAGAAGCACGTTGGTGCCGCAGGCAATGGCCTAATGAGCAGTGTTGTCAGCACAAGGTATCATAGTAAGCTAGGGGAACTCTGGATCTTACAATATTACAGTCTCGTGACTTCAGGCCAATGACAGCCTGGTGAAGAGCCACCATACTACTGGAGCAGGCGGTGTCGACACTGAGAGCAGGTCCTCTGAGATCGTAGAACCATGAACAACGTCCAGCCAGCGTACTGGCGATTGTGCCACATGCCGTGTAAGTCATTGGGGTATCTGTGTCCTTGATCATAAGATCACGGTAGTCCCACATGAAAGCTCCCGCGTAGACACCAGTTGGTGAGCCAGCCATGTCGCGCATAGTGTAGCCAGCATTTTCCATGGCTGTGTAGACACACTCGAGGAGCATGCGCTGCTGGGGATCTAAGCTCGCCGCCTCTGCGGGCGTCATTGCGAAGAAGGGGGCATCAAACGCCTTCACGTTGGCCTGCATGAAGTGTCCCAACTTTCCGCCAATCTATGACAACGTTAGCCAAACTCATCCAGGTATCGAGGGTGGCATGATGACTTACAACTCCATCTCTGTGGTTGTCGGGATGCCAGAAGGCTTCCGCGTTGTATCGATCTGCTGGCACGGGGGCTTGCGCGGATCTTCCAGCAACAAGAAAATCAAAGAACTTTTCAACGCTGTCTCCGTCGCAAGGCAGCTTGGCATCCAAGCCAATAACAGCAATAGGTTCGGGAAGAGGCTCAGCCATTTTGAGGGTAGGGTATGTGAGATGGGAATGAGGTCGGAGTGTTGATCACTAGTATGGCTTGCCAGCAAAATCAAGCGTGAAGAACAGGAATGACGAGGACTTTGACTTGAGAGTTCTGAAGATCTGCGGATGGTTCGATATATACATCGGAATCTCGTTCCCGTTAAGTGGCTGGCTGATGTTTATTTTTCCCGCCGGCTTTCACTCACCGGCGTTACGAGCTTGATACACAGAGACCGGGTTTGCCCCGATCACGGCCACAGGCAAGGATGGATTAGTGAACACCCTGAAGGACCCCTAATTCCAGGAAACCTAAAATCTCTGGGTCAAAGATGCAGCACGCAAGCGAGGCCGCCGTTGAACGCGCCATAGGCTGTCTCCGGTGAAGGCGGTGATAGTGAGTTGTCTTACACCGCCGCAATGGTTCAACCCAGTGCTTAGCCCCTACAAAGCAGCGTACGAGTAAGTCCTGTGGATTCAATGCTGATGTTGATGAGGCCAGGACCCAAGCTGTCCTTGGCAGTCGTTGTTTTGCACCCACCCGTAAGGCAACATCTCGGCAGGTACATGCCTCATTCAGAAAAGAATCTGATAACCCACGTTTCAAGCAAAGTCCTGTTGTCAAATCACCAGTCTCCACGCAGTGTGATAACGAATTCTTCACCGTCTTTAGTTACATGATTCAGTTGGGTGCGTCTTCACGAACACGCGGAAGGTGGGCAACACGGAATAACCTCGTACGCCTCGATGCCAAATCCACTGAAGTCGAAATGTTGGATGTTCCATCGCCCCGTAATTGCCGAGGCCGGGAATGCTGCAGAAATGATATTGGACGTAGCAATGGCCACGTTACGAAACGATCGCATCGTCTCGTCTGGGCGCCAAGGCGGCACGGAGGCGTGGGGGAGGGTCGGCGGGTCAACGGGGGGTGTCGCCGGGGCACCGGGGCCCCGGGGCCGAGACGCGGTACGGGGCACAAAAACCTGCGCAACGTACAATACAAGCATTAGGGGTCTCTCCGTGCTGCCGGACACACCCGGACCTGGTCCCAAAGCCCCCATGTTCGTATGAGGGCATGACTCGATAATGCAGCAGCGAGGCCTACACTCCACCCCCAGCCAGTATCTACCGGTAGAAACTTGGAAATTAATCTAAATCGCCATTTATTTCCACATAGCTCATAAGAGGATAAACTTAGCGCACGAAGCTTCCGTTTAATGCATGACTCGGTAATGGAAAATGGGATCAACATCAGTCTAACTTGCAACGGTGTAGAGACGTAGCTTATACAGTGGGGGCGTCTACGGGGCATCCGTGATCGACATGTACTACTGTGAAGACGTTGACCACGTTACTGGGAACTCCAGGGTTGTGTAGATGAAGCATCAAGCTGGCAGTTAACTGCCGCAATCTGTACCTTCCCAACCATGAAGTCTAAAAAGAGAAACAAACGGTAGTTGAAGCGTTCGTGTTGAAGATGTGCATCTTCAGGGTTCACCGCAACATTGAGCGCGACTAGCGCGCTTATCGCGCCGCTCGTGCCGAACCTCATAACACTTAACGCGGCACCACTATAGTTGTTGATTCTGTACAAACACGAACTCAATCTTGCATACTGATATTCTCACTTTAATCAATCCCGCGGTACTCAAAGTACTCCGTCCATTCCGGGCTTTCCATCAACTTGGCAACCAACTCTTTCTCCATAGTAATCGCGAACATGAATCCCTCATCGGCACTTGCAGTTCCTCCAACTGGCGGGTAGATGAGCACTACACCTGCAGTCTTGTGACCTCCCCACAGGTGACGATGCGTGATGGGCTTGGCAAACCCAAAGTCAAAGCCGCTGACATCCGCTGGGCGATGATCAGTCACGAACATGCTCATCGGCGGGTGAGCATCAACGCGCAGGCTGATTGTTCGTTTGTCTTTGATTGGTGCTATGAAGCCAATCAAACGTTTCAAGTGCTCTTCGTTGCAGCTCTCTGTCAACGCGCGGATATAGCCCGCAAGCTTCGACAAAGGAGCGTCTGAGGCGACATCGGCAACGGTCAGAGGCGGAACCGGAGCAGTGTCCGAGAAAGCTCCCGCAACCACGTTGCGCATCATGCGCTCTGGGACAGGAGGGTTGCTCAGTCGGGGCCGCATGTTCACAGCTTCTCCCCACCAGAGGGGTGTGGAAGAGTCCGGCTTATGGAGCGGAGCGCGAACCTTCGTGAGCATACGCCAGACGTATGCACACGTGGCGTCGTAGGTTGAGATCCAATGCGACGCAGGATCTGTTGGCATTGCAAGCTTCTTCAGTGCTTCAGCCTTGCTCTTAGGCAAATGGAACAGCACCGCTTGTTGCTCCTTATGATCGGGGTGCATTTGTGGAATAGCGGGTCCGTCCACGAGATTCTCCGCCGGTAGATCCTTGGTGAAGCGCGATGCGTCGATGCATGCGGGATTCCACGACAGGAAGTCTGTTGAGTTGGAGACCGCGAAGCAGTTCTCGGCAAGCTGGCGTGTGAAGTTGGCCCAACCCATGACATCGCAGGAGTAATGGTGGTTGTGCATGCTGAAGATCAGACCGCCATCCATGATGTTGATCTGATATGCTGCAACTACTGGGCTACAGTCTGGGTCGGCTTCAGGCCTTTCTCCCCATGTCAACTCAGGAATGCCTAAACAGAGGAACGTTAGTAAGATTCAACGGATAATCTGGGTCATCTGAGGATGACAGTAGTGAGCCGGGAGACTTACTCCACAGATTGACATCTCCAAGACTGTTTCCAGAAAAGTAGGACGCCTCGATAGAGTCCAAAGATGGATGATTACCGTTGGGATCCAGACGGTGAACCACGAACTGTACTGTGGACTCCTTCCTTTTCACAAAGGAGTAGCCACCCTGGGGGTCTCGCTCAATAGTAGCGCACATGTATCTCGCCTGGCTGAGGGTCCTTTGCAGGCCAGCCTTGAGAATTTCGACAGCGTCATTCTTCTTCGCGTCGTCCAAGCGAAAGAAGAGTGCGTAATGATTGTACGCGGCTTGAGGCGTAGGATCAAGAACAGAGAGCTTGAATCTCTCCTCCTCAGGATCCTGTTCCCAACCCAAGGGACGGAGTTGAAAGACTTCCCGCGATGACATAATTACGTATTGAACAATAATGCAATTGAAGGTGAAAAGACGTCAGAGGTGGTTGAGCTCGATGATATGAGACGAACCACGACGAGATGCATCAGACGATTTGTGTTTTATCCGATATGGCCCATCAACATCAGTCCATTCGATCGGAAACCAAACAGCGGTCTACAAGTATCCGCCGTATGCGTCTCAAACTCAAGGGTCCGATTCACTGGATCTTGAAGAGTCAGTTCAGGTAGCATCGGAATAGATTGCGCGTGGGCCAGGGCTGCCACCTGCCCCACGAAGTGAAAGCTCCGCTCATGGTGGGTACGTGTCACTGCCTCCTGTTCTCCATGTTGTCGTAGCATAATTGCAATATCGTTCGGTGAATTTTCTGTCACGCTATACCCTTGCTTTTATGGGTGTAAAGGAATACGTGGTGATTGCAGTAGAGAGAGAATGCTTCGAGGGAGAGCGGCATATCAGCCCACGAGAGTCTCCGTCACCCCCACGGACGTGGCCGATTACAAACTACTACCTGCCCTAGGGCTCAACGGGACTTGTGTTATAAGAGGCCGGATAAACGGGGTGTAAACAAAATGGAACCCACAGTCCCGTCTGTCTGGTGGCATTCACTCTGTCGCCTTTTCTCTTATTTTCGACACCCGTCATCTATCTGATTCTCGCGGCAGAAACGAGACACAGACGGCAAGATGTTGCCGGCCATTGCACTGGGGATCTTAGGTGTCCTCTGTTATCTCTATCTTCGGGGGAAGGGCACTTCCAATCTCCCGCCCGGACCCAAGCCGCTTCCCATCGTCGGCAATCTCAGAGACTTACCCCCGAGTGGGACGCCCGAGTACCAGCATTGGCTGAAATTCAAAGACATCTATGGACCCATTAGTTCCATCGATATTCTGGGACAGAAGATCATCATCCTTCACGACCGTCAGGCAACACATGACCTGTTGGTGAAGTCTTCAACCAAGACATCAGGGCGCCCTTTCATGCGCTTTGCAGATATCTGCGGCTTCGCATCGCTCCTGAACCTCCAACAATATGACGGGACATTTCGTCGGCACCGCAAGTTGGTGCACCAGCAATTCGGTACAAAGGCCGTAGCAGCCCGGTACAGAGACAACATTGAGCCAGAGTCACACCGCTTCCTTCTCCGTGTGCTGGATGACCCCGCCAACCTCGTATCACACATCAAGACGTAAGTCTACTCAGCCACCCAGACTTCATCCATTGGATGCGGCTTGCCTGTGAACCTGTCGCTAATTCATTCTCATAGTGAGGCCAGTGCCATCATTCTGCGAATCACTTATGGCTACTCCATCTCGCCTGGTAAAAGTGATCCCTTGGTGCATCTGATCGAGCGCACCATGGATGTCTTTGCGCTCGCAACCGTTCTTCTGGGTTGGGCAGTGGACATCTTCCCCTTCCTCCAGCATCTCCCAGAAGGCGTGCCAGGAACTTCATTCAAGAAGCAGGGCCGAGAGTGGGGCAAGCTCCTGGAGACGACGAAGGATGTCCCTTATGGTTTCGTTCAGAAGAGGATGGCCAGTGGAACTCACGAACGGTCGTTTGTCTCGTCACTTCTTGAGCAAGAGAGCACTGCCACCGGCGAGGCCAAGAACGAGCACTGGGAGGATGACATCAAGAAGACAGCCTTAGTCATGTACGGTGGTGGTGCCGATACCACTGCATCGGCCATTCACAGCTTCATTCTGGCTATGATCCTTTTTCCCGATGTTCAGAAGAAGGCACAGGCGGAGATCGAGAGCGTTGTCGGAAAAGACCGCCTACCTCAGTTTGGAGACCGAAAGCGCTTACTGTATGTCAATGGCGTGGTGAAGGAATCCTTCCGTTGGCTGCACGTTGCGCCCTTGGGCGTAGCTCACCGGACTGACGAAGACATTACCTACGGAGGGTACCACATTCCCAAGGGTGCATATCTGCTGCCGTCTATCTGGTGGTTCTTGCACGACCCTGCAACGTATGCGGAGCCGGATTCCTTTGACCCTGCCCGGTATCTGGCTCCCCGCAATGAGCCGGACCCTACTGACGAGACCTTTGGGTACGGTCGCAGAATTTGCCCTGGCCGCTTTCTGGCAGATGAGAGTCTCTTCATCACCGTTGCACGTCTTTTGGCGACATTCGACATCAAGAAGGCTGTTGACGAGTCGGGCAACGAGATTACGCCGAAGATCCAGACTACGAGCGGCTTAATTTGCCGCCCGGTCGACTTCCCGTATAGCATCAAGCCGAGAAGTGATAGGTCCATCGATCTCATCAGATGCGTTGAAGGGAAGCATGCATGGGGTGATGAGGATGCCGAGCTTGTTCAAGAGGACTTGGCGAGGCACGGCTGTTGATAGACAGATGTCTTCTCCTCGGGAAACACAGAGCAATGTGTAGTCAGGCTAGAGTATCAGAACAAATGTACTGATAAAAAGACATGAGAACTGCATTTGCCGTCTTTTCGCACGTGTAAGCATGGCTGTCTTAAATCCAGCAAGTTTACCAGGCTGTGCAATTGGCACCGGCCTTTTATCATTCAATGTGGCGGGCTGGTGACCTCGGTGTTGGTTTCTCCAAAAGGCAACAAAATGCCGAGACTCAGTTTACTTTCTATCTTTTGAACCCAGCCATATTCAGTTTTCAAGGCATTCCGCAACACTATCAAAAATTATGTCTACCTTATGCTTCGATAGACGCCTACTAAACATCGCGACTGTTTACCATAGACAGCCTTCAGATAGCTAGCCTTACGAGTTGTGATGTGACATGCAAAGCATTCATATTCTGCGCCAAGATTGATCACTGATCAGAACCAAGGTAGAAATAAACTTTCCACCCGGGAGGTGGGAGGGTAAACAGTATCCGAGGCACTCGTAACGAGTTGCAACCATGAAAGAGTCATGGGTCACCTAAGCGAGGTGGGAATGCGTGCAGGGTTCACTCAGTCGGGTCAACCGAGAATCACGGAAGAATACAGAGGTCCGAAGTCCTTCGATAGGAGGCAGCAATGAGACAACAAGAAGATGAGAGCCAAGAGCGCGGCTTTTTCGTTCGAATTCGGGCGGACACTCCGCTATCCTAAACCGATGCGACCCGCTGTGCGTTCATCTCAAGTTTCAACATGTCACAACCATGCTAGGTAGAATACTTGGAAGAAGAAAACAAGGACTAATGCAAGGCCGTTGAGATGTAAACTCTAAATCAGTTGACGGTGAATTGATCGCGATCTACCAAAGATCTTGCAATCGTTCGTCTTGGGAAGCCATGCACTGGCAACATCGAGAAAAACATGCGGACAGTCCGGCGTTTAGTGGATTGATGTTTCAATCAATCAAATTGCCTTCTAAGACACAACTCCCGTTTCTTGGATCGCGATGCGCAAAGGGGAGACTCGGAAGACCCCCACAGGGAAGATGGCTGGGCTGAAGAGGTAGAAAGAGGCTCCATCACCTCTTGGTACTTGGCGTTTCTATTCACTCAAGCTGTGGATGTTGTTGTGCTCGTCTAGCCGCCCCACGCCTTGTGGGCCATCGAGCTGTCATCCTTGCATTGCGGGTTGTAACACTATGGCGGGCCGGCGGTAGAGTCTACAGCCCCTGGGCGTGATCCGTTGATCCTTGTAAATGCATAGATTATGGTGCGTGGAATAGGGCGCAGTTGGCTTTGAGACGAACACGAAATCTGGGCTGGTCTATTTCATGGATGAACGTGGAAAGACTGGGGCGCTAGGCTGATGTTGGGGTTGGCAACTGACAGCTGCATGTATTCAGCGGTGATTAAGGAGACTTCGGGGACAAAAGGAGAAGTTCTCCTTGGGCAGCTGGTATACGGACGGGGGCTGGTTTTCGGCGGGCGTATTCCAATACCGGACGGAGCCTTTGGCGGGGTAGGGCTACGGGGCTGACGGGGATCGTCGGGACCGGGGTGGCTGCGAGGGCGTGGGACGGTGGGACTCTCGTACAACGGCCTGACTCGCCTTGGGTCGTTTTTCTGCCCTCTGCTAACCAACTCCTGCCGATCACAGCATTAGACGACGAACTGTACCAGACATGTACATACTTACGGTAAAGAATCACGAAAAATCAACCGATTGACCCGAATAACAACGACGAAAACGAAGTTGACCCAGATTGACTGTACACAGTATACAAAAACACGAGACATCACAGTATCAGCAGAAGCTGCTTGACACAGACACGCCCCAGCTAATCATGGCTCAACATGTCTTTGGAAGCTGGTGGATTCCACAGACGAGAACCATCGTCAACAGGCCACGTATCCAGTGGGACGGCTGGCGGTGGATACGGGGTCTGAGTTACTTCTGGCTTTGAGTATTGCATTTGGGTGAGGGTGTCATAGTAATGATCGGCGAGTGTTATGCCAAGTTGCTCAATGAGAGGCTCAATGGGGATTACCATGCTGCCGGAGAAATGAACATGGTGCAGCTCAGTGCACAATTTCATACCATGCAAGTAAGTGAGTGGGCCAAACCGGTTTCATTCGAGATTCAACTGACAGAATCTCATTGAGCCGAGGAAGGCCCGAGACTCATCTTCCTCTTCACTGTTGTTGATGTTGTAAAATCCTGTGATCTCCCAGGATGTCTGTATTCGATTGCTACATGGTTGATTACTAATAGCATTGTGACATCGACATATGTTTTGAGAGTTCATCGACGTTGCATGCCGAAGAAGCCGCACGCGTTCAGCCCGATCCAAAGGCTACATGAGCTCCAGTGTTGTAGTCAAACTTAAGTTGCTGTCCTAGGTTCAGCCTCGCAGTAAACGCCTGACCATGAAGTTACAGCGGAGATCTCGTCGTTGTGGATGGCAGCAAGGAACTGTATATTACCTCACCACGTAATTCAGGTTGGAGAGAGCCACGACGGGCTACAAGTGATGGCTTGTGAGATGTGAGCTTGGAAATGCTAGGGGGCCATGCGCTCCCGATCAACAGCCGGGGTTGGCTGATTTGCATGATGTACAGTGAGGACGATTGAACCCCCTCAGTAGAATGCGGACATATCTCTTACGGCAATCAACAATCATAATTATCGTTTGAAGACTTGTGAAGCTAAACTCGCCTAAAAATTGGAGATGCGTACCTGAACCCACGTGCTTGTCTGGTAGGTCTCATATCGCTTCTTTCAGCTCCCTGCTATGAACGTCACTCACTTCCAACCGATGGATCCAACATGCAGCCAGGAATGATGAACACTAGAAAACTACCTAGTATACATGACTCAACGGCTTGATGTATCCATAACCGTCACTACATTCTATACCATCCAAGACTTGACCATGAATATCCTTCCTCGAAGAGCACTGTTCTGACTCCCTAGACCTAACAAGGGTAAACCCAAGCAAGCATCAGACCCCCTTCAACCGGAACTTGGCGTAGGAGTTGTTGCTAGTGGAATAATAGTAAATACCAGCGGAGTTTCGATGAGAACTTCGCCGGTTGAAGTGGACGCAAGCGAATTGGTTGAGCTTGTGGATGAGCCAAGGTCGAAGCTGGATGATGCTGGAGATGTCAAGCTACTGGTTGTCTGTGTACTGTTCTCGGTTTCGCTTCCGGAACTAGCCGTCGACGTCTGAGGGATGACTGGGGGCAGGGTACTGGATGACGTTGACTGCGGAGCCGGTCCCGAGCTGTTGGTTGAGGTACTGAGGGGGCTCAAGGTGTTGGTAGAACTGGGGCTGCTGCTAGAACCTGCAGATACCGAAGTTGCGGTTGTCGATATGGTGCCAGACTGTCGGGTCGTCGACCCTGAAGAAGCGGACTGTGATGCAGATCCCGAACTGCCCCCTGTTGAGATAGACACAGGGATGCTGGAGGTGCTGCTTGTGCCAGAAGCTAAATTGGACGTTCCGGACGTCCTAGAAGTGCTACTTCCTGTTGAAGAGAACCCCGCCAAGTTAGTGGAACTGTTGGAGAATGATGTTGAGGATGATGCTAGGGGAGAGGTACCGGATGTTGTGAGTGACCCAGTAGAACTAGCAAAGGATGGTGACGAAGACGGAGACGTAGATTGAGAGAACGTCGAGAATGAAGATGTCAATGAAGACGAAGATAAAGCGGGGGACGAAGATGCTAATGAGAATATTGACGATGACGTCGACGAAATTGAAGAAGAGATTGACAAGGACAACGACGAAGACGATGAAGACGCGGATGACAAAGATGACGATGAAGAAGATGATGACGAAGATAACAATGAAGACGATGACGACGAAGTCAGAAGGGATGAGGTGGAACTGGTTGGTGACGGGCAGGATGCAGCCGGTGGCGGATTTCCATATATCGTGAAGTATGGATTGGCGCCGGTATTGCCGCACGGCGAAGTTGGGGCCCCTGAGCAAGGGAAGGGACAGTTACTATCAGCCGCGGCGGAGCTACTGCATGGTGCTTGATTTCCAGCCGAGGCACAATAGCAGACGTTGCCGATGAGGGCTGCGAAATTCCGGTTTTGAGCCTGACATCTAGATTGACAATTTCCCGGATTGCCACCGCCGACAGCTTGATAGACGATATTGAAGACCGAGTTTGCTGAAAAGCAGCCGAGATACTGAAACGGGCTGACTGGAGCTGGTGTGAGGGCTTGAGCGCTGACAAGGGAGATGAGGCCAAACTGGAAGGCGACACTAAGCAGAAGAGATGATTGCATGATGACTAGATGACGGTATCTTGTGCGGTGATGGCGATATAAAACGACATGAAGACCGTCTCATACTATGTAATGAAGAGACTGGTAGTGCAAAGAGAGAGCAGACGTTGTGAAAAAGGGATGAGAGCTGTCACCACGCTTCTGAAGTAGGCTGCCGGTTGCTTACTTACGTGTCTGGTCGTCACAGAATGGCCAATTTGGTTTCCAAGGGCCAACGAAAATGGTCCACTTGCACATTCCAATATTTCAGTGCGCAGTCTCACATAGTGTTGGAAGTGAGACAGGTCCCGGCCCGAAAGAGGCGTATCTCATCGGTATCATCGGAAATAACATTCCAGCTTGATATGGTGGCGTCCGTCAACATTTGCCGTTCGTATCTGCCTGGGCTTCAGATCTCAACCAGTTGCATTTCCCTTCTGATCCGGAAATCTCCGCTCGGTTGGTGCGATTAGATCTTTGGCCGAAAAGGGGCTGACTAGTCGATCGGAGCCGGTGCAACGCCGGGGACTTTTTGTGGGTCGCCGTCCGAACACCAAACTCCGCTCCGCAAAGCAGCCCCGCACCTGCGGAAATGTCAATAACCGGAACTTGTTTCCTCTTTGAACTACCACGCTAAGAAGTTCGTCTTGCCTGCGGGAGTAGATAAACTCCACCAATTTCTGTGTTGATCTCTGGGATTTCGTGCTTCTTACACTCAAGACTTCAAACAACATTGCTGCGAAAATGCCGGAAACAATGAAGAACTGGCAGTATTCTGCCGTCAACGGCAACTTCGAAGACTGCCTTACCCTCAATAAGGACGCGCCCGTACCGAGCATCTCCTCCCTTCGCCAGGACGAGCTACTCATCGAAGTCATCAGCGCATCGCTCAACCCCGCCGACTACAAGGTCCCCGCAACACCTCTCATCGGCCGCCTGCTGATATCGCGCCCTGCGACCCCAGGGATGGACTTTTGTGGCCGCGTTGTCGGCACACACCCGTCGAATACCACTTTCAAAAAAAGACAGCTTGTTTTCGGCGGCTATGCAATGATCAATCAGAGGGGTACTCTCAGCCAGTACACCGTTATTCCCATGGCCAATGTCGCGCCTCTGCCAGAGGAGGTCGACCCAGACCACGCGGCGGCAGTTGGGACGGCCGCCACGACCGCATATCAGTCCCTCATGCCCGACACGCTCCAGCCCGGCGCGAAGGTCTTCATCAACGGCGGAAGTGGCGGTACGGGGACCTGGGGTATCCAAGCTGCCAAAGCCTTGGGCGCGGAGGTCGTCACGACTTGCTCCACTGCAAACGTTGAGCTTTGCAAACAGCTCGGCGCCGACGAAGTTATCGATTACAAGACGGAAGATGTTGTGGCGACTTTGAAGGCGCGAGGTCCTGTCTTTGATCTTGTTATCGACAATGTGGGCAGCACCACGGAGCTTTACGACCACAGCAATTACTACTTGAAGACAGGGGGAACATTCGTCTTGGTTGGTGTTGGCGCAGACCTGTCGATTTCTGGCATCTTTTCGAATCTCAGCAGACAATTGCGCCCTGCGATTATGGGATGCAGAGGTTTCTATTTCGTTCATCAGAAGAACGATAGCGAGTTCTTTGGTCGGATTGGTGGGTGGATGGCAGAGGGCAAGGCGAGAGCAATTTTCGACTCGACATTTCCGTTTGATGACGTGCCCAGCGCTTATAAGAAGCTCCGGGAGGGGAGAGCCAGGGGAAAGATTATTGTTCATGTTGGGAGCAGGTAGCAGGGTTAGGGATCAGGGAAGCGGGTAATGGTTTCGTTTTGGGATTGTTTTCGCCTTCAGATTGAGGCTTTTGCCCTGACAGATTTAATCATCTTCGTTGAGGTTCTTAACTGGACCTCAATTGACGGGCAGTCTCATTTTGGGGACTCCCGAAGATTCAAATTTATTAGTTCGATAAACTATGCAAATTGTACAAAAGAAGTGAACTATGTGATGGTTTTCTGTAGCCCCGGCGTTTGGTTACCAGCACTGGATAGCCTCAACGCTGCAGGAGATCATGCCCAGCTTAGACGCAGGAGAAGCCTTCGCCCAAAGTGCTGTTACCAACACCATCATAGACCTGCTTCTTCGGGTACGGGCACAGAGGCCTCTTGAAAGGCGGGGTGACGCCTACAGTCGAAGCCATCAGCGTGTCAGGAGCCACGCCGTTCTCGACCCACTCGCGCATAGCATCGAATGTGCCAGCAGGATACGCTCCGTTACCGCCGAAGCAGTGATTCACGCCAGGAGCCAGGAAGAGACGGAAAAAGTCATCCGCATGCGCATCCTGTGCCAGGACTGAGTCGTAGTAGTGCGTGCTTCCGCGAACGGGGATCAAGGTGTCGGTCTATGCACAGTTAGTAGATGGAATCAGATATTTGGGATAGAAGAACTGACCGTTCCGTGGTACCCAACAAGCTTGCCACCTCGGGCGCGGAACCTCGAAAGATCGGGGCTGTTTGTTCCCATCATGGATTCGTAGAGCTGGACTGAGAGGTGGGCAAGGTCGTCGAACTCGGCCTGGGTCATGTTTTCCGTGCTAACGCTCGAATTCTTGAGGAGGAAGAGCTTAAGCCAGTCGTCTGCGATTTCGAATGATCCACGAGTGCAGGTGCCGTTGGCCGTGCAGGTCGTCGGGACGACGGCCACATCTGTGATGGAGCCGGTCAGGACTGCCTCCTTTGAGGGGCCGAACCAAATGGTCGTGTTATCGGCTCGTCTCGCGCCATCCCACTGTGTGATGCAAGTCAGCCATGATGATTTCTTCTACCAGTGTCAGAAAGGACCACTTACAACTCTGCGAACTATCTCAGCTGCGGCGGCTGAGACCTTGCGTTCCAATCCAAGCTCAGTGCAGTTGACTGTACTTCCAACCACAGTCGCAGGATCAAAATCACAGTTGTCGGTGTCGGATACCACACCATCCTCAATACCGTCGGCTCCATCGCACGCTTTCAACGCCGCGCTCGTGATGGCATTGATCTCACATGCGGGAGGATACTCGCCGAGCTGATCCATGACGAACATACCCCACATACCCTGCATAACAAACTGGTTCCAATTAATTGCCGGAGCGCTGGCAGCAATGCCGTCGTACGCATCAGGATAGCGCTGCGCAAGCTGGAAACCCTGGCGGCCTCCCTGGGAACAGCCCGTATAGTAAGAGTACTTGGGCCGCGTCTTGTAGAAACTGCCGATGACGCTCTTGGCGATGACGGCCGCGTCGTTGAGCGTGGTGGACGCCAGATCTTGCAAGAGATAGAGGTTGACGTTTCCTTCGCTGAGCAAGCCCCAGTTGACGGGGGTAACATCAGAGCCCAAGCCGCCGTCGGTTCCAACGGTGGCATAGCCCTCGCCGACTGACGCCATCATAGCCATCAGCCCGGCCTGGTGCAGACCCGCCTGCCAGCCGGAGCCTCCGATGTGCTGGAGGCGGCCGTTCCAGGTGTCTGAGGGCAGCCAGACCTGTACGTTGATTGTGTCATTCTGGCCTGGGTGGGTATAGGTGACGGTGACGTTGCAAAAGTTGGCGTTCTGGACGTTGACGGAGCCGTGGTTGGAGTAGTATCCAGGGGGGACGTTTTGAGAATGGTTGGCCACAAAGTTGGTTTGAAGAGAAAGAAACTCGGCACCAAATAGATCGGGGTAGGGTATGAGAGCGGCAGAGCAGGCGCTAGGCGGCGCGGTGCTGTTGAAGAGAGAAGGGATCATAATGAATGAGGTAATATTAGTGAACGTATGACTTATTAGAGGAGTAGACTCGTGAAGAATTACGAGTTCAAGTCCCGAATCCTCTTGCGATCGATAGGCTTTATAAACACGAACATCGAATCGCGGTAGCCAAGAGTAGTCCTTGTGTAGATCGGATCAAAGACGTTTTCCTAATGATATCCACATCACTAGGTAGGCCATGATGTCTCCTGAAAGCCAAGAATCTAATTCTAGTGATACACTTCAATCCGAAATTGGACCGACCGATTTTGATTTCAGCATTGTCAACAGACCGGCAGTTGAATGCTGCGGTTCCGCGCTCTCGGACTGGTCCAACATTGATTGGTTCAAGCAAGTCCCGCCGTTACGGAGAGTGGCGCAGTACGGAGATCAACAGCCTTCAAAGCTGTGATGAGTTACAATACCTAGCGAACAGAATAGATCGGCATTGAGACTTGAACCTAGTCAATCGCACAACTTCACAGAATTGTAACATTGCGCGTCCTGTGGTGCATGAAGCCCGGGTCCGCCAGGAGCCAAGCCACAGTTGAAGCGGGCCCTCTCGCACACAGACGAATGCGATTGGTCTGGATTCGATCTCTACAATACAGATCCGCTGGATACGCGCAAGAGATCAAACCGACTTTCCAATCTCAGAAGGATGTAACAATTCGTGATGGGATATGTTGCAGTGTCAGAGGGTGTCAACTACATGCCTTCCTCTGTACGAAAATCCATATATCCTCGTGAAGAGGCCTGCCTCTGAAGCTCGAACTCTCCCCCCCCTCAAGCTCATATCACCATTCCAATCGTTGAACCTTTTCTTTCTCTAGACTTGAACCCTGTATTCATCCATTTCGGTCTTGTTATCATCACGCAATTTGTTCCATAGTTGTCCAGAGAATTACCCTGATTCCTCAGTACCGGCACCATGGCTGTTCTTGAACCCTTCAGAGGCAACTATTATCTATGGAAATACCTTCCATCCGTCCCAGCAGCTATTATCTTCTGTATCATCTTTCTCACGACCACATTTGCATACATGTGGAAGATTTGGAAAACTCGCGCCTGGTTCTGCATCCCGATGGCTATTGGCGGCTACAGTAAGCTCAACCGCTCCCCCAAAGCTGAGATGGCTCGCAAGACAGGAGAAGCTCAATGCTAACCAGCCATCCATGGTCACAGTGGAATTCCTCGGCTACGTCTTCCGCGCCGTGGCCCACAACAAAACCGGCAAACTCATGCCCTTCGTCACCTCGCAGAACAACATCCTCCTCGCGCCCGTCCTCTTCGCCGCGTCCATCTACATGACGCTCGGCCGCGTGATCCGCATCGTCAACGGCGAGCAGCACGCCATCATCCGGCCCTCGCGGCTGACCAAGGTCTTCGTCGCGGGCGACGTCCTCGCGCTCGCGATCCAGGGCTCCGCCGCCGGCCTGATGGTCGTCAGCGAGTACGCCAAGATCGCGCAGGGCATCGTCGTCGCGGGGCTCGTCTTCCACATCTGCGTGTTCGGCGTGTTCTGGACGACGGCGTGGACGTTCCACTCGCGCATGAAGAAGGACCCGGGCTATCACGAGATCGGGCCGGACGTCAAATGGGAGCAGGCGCTGCGCATGCTGTACGGGGCGAGCGGGCTGATTATGGCGCGATCGGTCTTTCGGATTATTGAGTTTGTGATGGGGAATGATGGGTATTTGTTGAGCAATGAGTGGCCGCTGTATATCTTTGACTCGATGCCGATGTTTGCGGTGATGGGGACCTTTTGGTACTGGTTCCCATCTTCTGTGGGTAGGAAGGGCGACTGGGTGCCAACTTCATCGGCGAATGACTTGGTTTCTGGTATGGAGAGTGTGGAGTTGAGAAACAGCGTGAAGGTTTAGGGATGAGTCTGGGAGGATTGCGTAGTATTTTGGAGGAAGGGGATAAAGTCATGATTGGATGTTAAAGAGAGTTCTGGTTATAGATGGTTGAAATGAATATCACTTTGGGTGTTTGAACTTCAGTGAAACTCAGTCAAGAAAGTCCCAAGAACCACCAAAATGTTTGTCAATGAATCAAGAATTCGTCAGCCCACGTTCTAAATCAAACCGTTCCATTGAATAATGCTTCTGGACATCTCACTTCCAAGTCCAGTACGCCGACAAACAGCCCGCAGGCCAAGCATGTAAGTAAGCTTACACGAACAGCCCGTCTTATTCCCCCACAGCCACTATTGTCCAAATACAGCACGGCGAGCAGAAGCGTCGCATCGGGTTCTCATACTGAGCGAATCGCATTACAGCGACTGCGACAGGTCCACAGTGGATCGGCAGGAGCTACATACGCGGGAACCAACACCGGAAATTTTGCCCAACAGCTTCCCCTGAAAGCCCTGATGTGACCGGGTGACTCACCCACCGAATGAATGCAAGGGAACAACAAGCTTACCCGTACCTAACCGAATCCTTCGTGGAACATGTTGTCTCGTTACTTTGTATTCCACGCCTACCTATGCGAAGTAACATGGGCGGCCGTTGCTGCAGTTCGCATGAGGCTATGCCATCGCAACGATGGATATAAAGCCAGAAGCCGAAGACTTCCTTCATGATGAACAACAAGACCAACCTCGACAACTAGATCCATAGACCGAGCCACAGGATCAATCCCCAGCAATGGACCTCTCATTAGCACAGTCGTGCGTCCCCAGCACCTTCAGTCCCTCCCTCTTCGGCGCTGAGGTGCTCTCCCTCGACGCAAACCTCGTCACCAACTACAGCGCCTCCGTCGCCGAGGCGTTCCGCTACGTCGCGCCCGCCGTCACGCTCGACAACGTCTCCTTCTGCAACGTCACCATCGCCTACACGCACCCCGGCCAGAACGACCACGTCATCACCGAGGCATGGCTGCCGCTGGACTGGAACGAGCGCTTCCAGGTCATCGGCGGCGGCGGCTGGGTCGCCGGCCGCTTCTTCCTCACGTACGGGGGCATGCAGGGCGCCATCGCGGACGGGTACGCGACCATCACCACCGACGCCGGCCTCGGGGACGCGCAGGAGCCTACCCCGTGGGCGCTCAACAGCCCCGGCAACGTTAACCTGTACAACTTGCAGAACACGGCTTCCGTCTCCTTGAACGATGAGGTGACTCTACCTGCATAGCTACTTGTTGTTGTTGATTCAATCACTAACATCACCCGCCAGGCCATCATCGGCAAGTCCCTGATCAAGAGCTTCTACGGCCGCGATCCAAAGTACTCCTACTGGAACGGCTGCTCCAACGGCGGGCGCCAGGGCCTCATGATCGCCCAGCGCTACCCGGACCTCTACGACGGCATCGCTGCCGGCGCGCCCGCTATCCATTGGAACGAGCTCATGCCCTTCTCCCAGTGGCCGCAGCAGCTCATGAATGAGCTCGGCGAGTATCCCTACCCCTGCGAGCTCGACGCCCTCTCAGCCGCCGCGCTCGCTGCCTGTGACGGGCTGGACGGCGTCGTCGACGGGGCTGTCACTGACCAGCACGCGTGCCTGGCCAAGTTTGACGCCTTCTCTGTCGTCGGGCGGGAGGTGGAGTGCGCGCAGACGAATGGGACGAAGATGGCTGTGAGCAGGGCCGCGGCGGTTGTGGCGAATGCGACGTGGCATGGGTACTCTGCGAAGAAGTACTACGGCGGTCTGGTCCCGGGGACCGATTTGACGGGGATGTTGAGCATTGTGCAGACTAGTTGCAATGCGACGGGATGTGTGGGCGTGCCGAGTATGCTTGGAGGCCTGTGGCTTCAGCTGTTTGTGGCCAAGGATCCTGCATTTGATATCGGGCATCTGAGCCGCGAGGAGTTTGACGCGCTTGTTAGCTCTGGGCGCCAGCAATATGCTTCGCTAGTGGAGTCTGCGGATCCGGATTTGAGAAGGTTCCGTGATCTTGGGGGCAAGATTATTTCTTTCCATGGATTGGTATGTGCCTTTCAAGGTCTTGTGGTCATATCTATACTAACAGGTTCCTCACAGGCAGACACTGTAATCCCGCCTGGATCCACGGAGGAGTACTACAACGCCGTGGCTAGGATGACCCCGGACATCCAAGATTTCTTCCGCTACTTCGAGGCCCCTGGGTTGGCTCACTGCTTTGGCGGCAAGAGTGGGCAGCCGAACAACCTCTTCCAGCAGCTGCGCGACTGGGTTGAGGAGGGCACTGCGCCTGAGAAGACCCCCATCAAGTTCAACGTCGGCCCAGATGAGACTCAGAACCGTATCTTGTGTCCTTACCCGCAAAAGGCTCAATACGTTGCTTCTTGTGGCGACGCCGCGTTGGAGAAGTGCTGGTCCTGTTCTGGGTCGGAAAACGCCGCTGCGTCTAAGCGGAGCGAGCCTAGACACCTCGAGCTACGCTGAAGGCAGAGCTTTTTGCGGATTTTGATCACAGCTTCGATAATGTTTTGTATTGGCGCATTAGGTAATTGGTAGTTGACCTCATGGCATATCAAGTTCTTGATTCGGCCATTCCAGCCACTCAGACCAGTAACTCCCGAGGTGATTTGAGATGGTCTTCACAAGAAATCTCCCCGAGTCTCCGACGGCCCAGTAGTCCCTTGCCCGATGCAACAGGACCGCGTAATACGCCATGATAACGAGCGCTTCGGGGCGTCGTTGCTGCAGCAGGGATATGTAATCCCGCGTTATGCGCACCGGCCATTCTTGAACGGCGACAAAGCGACGACTTTCCGATGTATGCACCGTGTCGAATAGGTACTGTAAGATCTTGGTGGTTTCGAGGTACACCTTCTTGGTAGACTCACTCAGCTCGCTTTCCTCGAGGCGCCGGAGAAGGTCCTCACACTCAGTGCCGTGAGACGATGACGTGACATCGACTTGGAAGTGGACGGGGTCCGTGGGGAATAAGTCTCGTAGCATGTTCCCGAATCTTACCATGGACTGGGCAACGATGAATTTGATGCCGGAGTGCAGTTCCAAGCAATTCACTAACTTGTCCAGGACGCCGGGCAGGGAGGAGGCGTTGGAGAAGATGTCGAAGAGGACGTGCTGGCCGAGGAGGATGGAAAAGGAGAACAGGGCGAGGAAGTTGTCCTCAGTGACGTCCTCATTAGTGATTCCGAGTCGACTGATGGCGCGGCTCTGGAGGCGGGTCGATTCGTTCTGGTAGAGAACTTTCATCTCTGGGTCGTCAGAGACAGTGCTCTTGTGTGCTGCGGCAAAGGCGAGGAGCTCATCCATGAGGTAGGGTGCTTTCAAGGCTTGCGTGCAGGTCACGCGAAGAATGATTTCCGTCTCTGACTGGCTTGATACAGTGACCTCTGTGAGGGGGCCCTGGAAGTGGCGCAGGAGGTCGAGGTGGAACAGGCTGTAGGTTTCTGCGAAGAGGGTATCTGGTGGGACACATGGTACGGATGTCGGTGGTTGAAGGGATGGTATGGAGGCAGGAGTGTCGGCGGAAGATGGAGTGAAGACAATAGAGTCAGATAAAGGCGTTGCCGGGGAAAAGGCGTACGGGGAGGCTCCCGAGTCTGGAGTCGACTGGGGACCTGGAGATGATGTCGTAGAGAGGTGTGACGAAGTTGGGGGAACGGGCAGGCTACTCTGCATGCCGACATATGAGCACGTCTTTCCCGCCGTTCGGCACTTGACACAAGATGGCCTGGTCTCATCGCATTTAACCTTCCTCTGCTTACACTCTCTGCATCCAAGCCGCGATTTCTTGTGCTTCCGCATGTTGGGTAGTTCTTAGTGTGTAGGTTGCCGCGGAGAGAGAGCCGATTCAACCAGATCGACAGCTGGAGGAAATGGGTCTGGGAGGAATTGTCTTTGTAGAATACGTGGACTCGGAAGATGTTGCGCTGAGTGCCTTTAAAGATCAGAGAGTCTCGCATACTGATGTTGGGAACCGAGACCGAAACCGCCATCTGAAGGCGTGAATGCGCGGAACTGAATGCGAACCAATAGCGTCCATCTCTGTCCGAGAACACCCACTTTTGCTGCCCCACGTACGCATTGTCGATTGGACAGGTTGACAGAGTGCCCTCGCTTCAAGGTAGAGGAATCGACGTATTTATTGCATTTCGTGCCTGATCTGTGATGATAGTCTTTAGCTTTGTGTTCTGCTTCTCTCAGCCGAGTCTGCCTCTGCTTGCATTGCCAAAAATGTTGGCTTGGAGGAAATTCGATCGCAAAAACACCAAGACGATGCCAGAAGTTGAAAATGGTCCGTGAACCGTTCTAGTCCCAAAGTGGCAAGGCTTAAGTGACCTATGTGGGGTCCACCAACCGGTGTTCAGCCGGAAGAGCCCCGCACCTCCAAGGGTCCACACGGACCTTCCGCAGTGCAGCCTTGCAGCTGGCCCAAAAAAAAAATCTGGATGAAGCCTTCTGTCGCAGGCCGGCGCGCAAAACCACTCCACCTACACCGTCCGGACGATGAGAGCGTCCGTCACGGCAACCAGACAATGGCGACAGACAATCCCTCAAATTCCGGCGCCAGCGCCCCGGCTGCCTCTGCGCCCGGTAATGGCAACCAGAACGGTCGTCAGCGTGGCGGAGGCCGCAACCAGAACAAGCGGCACCCGAAGCGCAAGCAAGAGCAGGGAAGGTCGTCTTGGAGGTAGGTTGAACATCTTTTACCGCGAATTGTCCGTCACTTTCGCGCCCCAATGTGTGTTACTGGCCGTGTCTTGCTGACGAGAATGCCGGCGCAGTCGCGAGGCCACCGACAAGCGCGGACGCAACACCGAGTACCAAGAGTTCAAGCGCCGCAAGGTGAACGAGGACGGCGAGGCCGAGCAGACCGTCAACCCCTTCTCCGCCGAGGAGATCGCCGCCGAGGCCCGCCGCCCGAAGCGCAAGGTCGCCGTCATGGTCGGGTACTCCGGCACCGGCTACAAGGGCATGCAGATCAACAACGAGGAGAAGACGATCGAGGGCGACCTGTTCAAGGCCTTCGTCGCCGCCGGCGCCATCTCCAAGGCCAACGCCGACGACCACAAGAAGTCGAGCCTGGTGCGCTGCGCGCGAACCGATAAGGGCGTGCACGCCGCGGGCAACGTCATCAGCTTGAAGCTCATCATCGAGGACGAGGACGTAGTCGAGAAGATCAACGCCGCGCTGCCCGAGCAGATCCGCGTCTGGGGCATCCAGCGCACCAACAACTCCTTCAGCTGCTACCAGACCTGCGACTCGAGGTGGTACGAGTACCTCATGCCGACGTACTGCCTGCTCCCTCCCCACCCCGACAGCTTCCTGTGGAAGCAGCTCGTGGAGAAGGCCAAGGAGCACGGGCATTACGAGGAGTTCCAGTCCAAGCTGGCGGATGTTATCAAGTACTGGGAGGAGGTCGACGAGAAGGACATCAAGCCGATCCTCGCGAAGCTCGATCCCGAGACGAAGGCCAAGGTGCTCGAGAGGATACACGCGGACGAGAAGCCCGAGGGCGACGACGTCAAGCCCGCCGAGAAGGCTGCCGAACCTGCCGCCCCTGAACCCGCCGCAGAGACCGCGCCCGCCGAAGACAAGGCGCCCGCCGAGGTCCCCGAGGGCAGCCTCAAGCCTAGAAACCGCGACCTGACCCCCGTCGACTTCGCCCTCCGCGACATCAAGGCCGCCTACATCAACGCCAAGCGCCGGTACCGCGTGACCCCGGAGCGGCTGAACCAGCTGCAGGCCGCGCTGAACGAGTACTGCGGCACCATCAACTTCCACAACTACACCGTCCAGAAGACCTTCAAGGACCCCTCGGCGAAGCGGCACATCAAGTCGTTCAAGGTCAACATGAGCCCGATCCAGATCCGCGACACCGAGTGGGTGTCGCTCAAGGTGCACGGCCAGAGCTTCATGATGCACCAGATCCGCAAGATGGTCGGCATGGCGTCGCTCGTCGTGCGCTGCGGCACGCCGCTCGAGCGCGTCCGCCAGAGCTACGGCCCCACGCGCATCGCCATCCCCAAGGCGCCTGGCCTGGGCCTGCTGCTGGAGCGCCCCGTCTTCGACGCGTACAACCGCCGCGCGCAGGACAACTTTGGCAAGGAGACGATCGACTTCACAAAGTACGACGATAAGCTGCAGGCGTTCAAGGACAAGCAGATTTACCAGCGCATCTTCGAGGTGGAGGAGCAGGAGAATGTGTAAGTTTTCAACACCGAGTCGGGGCAATTTTGTCGACGAACTTTACTGATCGCGTGTCAAACAGTTTCCACACTTTCTTCCAGCAGGTGGACAACTTCAAGTCCGACTACTTCCTCTGGCTCACGGCCGCCGGCATTGACGCCGGGGCTATCATGACTGCCAAGGGAGAGGAGAAGCAGAAGACGCTGGAGGCGCAGATGGGTGACGAGGATGAGGACCCCGAGAACGGCGAGGGCTAAACGAGCCTCTTTGTCGTTGTTGGTCGTTGTATACAGTAGACGTTGCATCACAATCAAGAGAAAACCGACACGGTAGACCAATTTCAAGAAGCATCAATAGTTCTTTTTTCCCCGTCCTCGTGGGTATCAGCTAGTCCTATCGCAATGTGAAAACCCAAAGTCAACCCCCAAACGCCGAATAAAATGCATCAATTCCGTAACTTCCACTCTGCCTCCGCGTTCACGAAGCACCGGCACCACCAGGCTGCGTCGGCGCCGCAGCTCCTCCATCAGGCGCCGCAGCAGGCGGAGGCGCAGCAGCAGCCGCATCCTGCCTCCCGATCGGCGCCCACTTGCCCCCGGCGGCGGTCGCGAGCCCGCTGTACCGCGTCTCCTGGATGGCGTTGAGCATCTCCGCGCAGCGCACGACGTCGGCCTGCAGCTTGTCGGCCTGGATGCGCGCGTCGCTCTCGCCGGCGCCAAGCTTGCCGAAGAGCCAGAGCTCCTTGAGGCGGCGGGAGAGGGCGAGCAGGTCTTTGACTGAGGTGTGCTGTGGGGGTTGGCGTCAATAGATATTTTTCCTGTCTTCGTCTTGTTTCGTTAAGGGAATTGGGAAGAAAAGGGGCTGGGAATTGGGATGCGTGGAGGGGAGGAGAGAGGGATTGACGTACCAGGCCCTCAAACTCCATCTGCATCGACATGCCCGTCACCGCGACGGTCTGCGGCTCGGCGTTTTTGCGCTCGCCTTCGGCCTGGATTGTCGCGAGCATGGTGAGCATGCGGAAGCGCGACAGGACGTCTGCGATGAGACGGTTGTGTGTATCGAGGAGGTTGGAGGAGTCTCGTGAGGTGTCCATGGCGGCGGTTGTGGTTGATGTTGGAGGATGAGGTTGGTGGTGAGTTGAGATGAGATGAGGTAGGAGCACGGAAGACACTGGATGCGCGAGGTGTGGTGGGGCAGGATTCGTGGGGGCTCGGTGAGCAGAAGCTTGGGCCAACGTGTTGACCGAGAGGTCCCCTCGGTGAGGAAGGCGATGATCACGAAGGAAGTACGGCAAGTTCACTCCTAGGCTCACCGGTCTTGCGGAGAAAATGGATAGAATGTTTGTCAGTCTTGTATAGATTCTATAGTGTCTCATTTACTGTAGAATATCAAGCCAATGACCAAATTGATGAAACATCACTCTGACCTAAAAGCTTTTCGATGTCACAATTTTCAGACAATTGCAAGTGGCCGACACGTCTTCGACAGCCTACTAGGTATGCATTGAACTCACGGAATATCCAGGCTTCTTTTCAGACTGATGTAACCACTGATAACTGTAATCGTAGCATAAGTGCCATTCCTAAGGTACTACTGCAGAACAGATGACTCGCTTCTTTGTCTTTTGGAAGGCCCGAGTTATTGTGTTGAACCAACTCGAATTATCTCCAGAAAATAACAAAGACCGACAACAAACAACGTATGATACACGCGGATGAAATCTACTGAGTCTGGTTGGCAACAGAGCCTTCAACGCCTTAGTCGCAATGCTAAAGACCCTTGCATTGTTCAAGTGAAGAACACCTGGCATTGTTGCGCATAGGTTACAGCCCGGACTTTGACAACAGCCTTCCAGGTACCCCCCAAACACTCGTGAGTAGCAGTCTACAAATACAGTATAAACTCTAGTACCCTCTAGATTCAATTTAATCATCAATTCAAACACTTCCAACCTTGAGCCCTTCATCACCTCCACGAAGACCCCAACACCATCCTTAGACGCGGTGAGTCTCCAACCCCAAACATAGAAACCTCTACCTGTATCATTGTGTATCGGAATTACCCACACGCCAATTTCATCATGGCCTACCGATTCGAAAGTGACAGCGACAGCGAAGGCTCCTACATCTCCAGCCGATTCGCCGATTACGGCTTCACGGACGTAAGCAGATCTGCCCGGGGCAGGACCGTTGACTCCATGGCTTGGGATATCGAGAATCCTTTTTCCAACCTCCAAATTATGGAGTCGAGAGTCGAGGGGCCCACTGGGCCTTATATTCACGTTGACAACAATATGGGCGAGCAGATTATCGTCCCCGATCTTGCCGTTTTTCAAGGAATGTTCGGCAGCGACTGGCAGCATTCCCCAAGGCACACCATCATTTTCAACACCATCGACACCTGCGAGTTCGTCATTGACTTGACCGACCGCGAAGAGCCCCCGGACGGACTACCCACGCACCTCATGGCCCGCATCGAGAAGCCCCGCCGGAATAACCAGCTCCTATGCTCGGCAGCGTTCCAGAAGCTGGCCCATCGGAAGTTGCCTTCACTCGTGCCCAAGGTCTGGGGTGCCGGGACTACGCGCACCGGAGACGGTCTTCAGCTTCACTACCTCCTTAGCCAGCATTATCAAGACGCTGTGCCCACTGAGAAGTACTGGGACGAATTCAACCCGGTCGTAAAGAAAGCTTTCATGAAGGACATCATCGACGCTATGTCAGAGCTGCAGAAGATCAACTTTGGTGATCTCGACATGGAGGACTGGGTCATCCTTTCCGAGAATGGCCTACAGACACAAGAAATGGAAGAAATACCTGCGGTAGGCAATTCGCAAGTGGGTTGGTTCAGTGACATGGCCTCGTTCCTAACGAAGAGACTTTCACCAGGAAACGCTAGGTACGAGCTCGCAACCTCCAACGACGGTTCGATCCTTCTTGACGGCGATTTCAAGAAGGACAGCTCCATTCACCACCAGGTCGAGTTCACCCCAGACAACCTGGCCCTCCTAACATACTCCAGCGCCTTCTGCCACAACGACCTCGAACCTCGTAACATCCTGATGCGACCACGGCAAGTTGATTTTGGCCCAGGCTATGAGCTTGTGGCCATTACCAACTTTGATTTTGCAGGTTTCTTCCCCTTCGCCTATGAGACGGCTATCAAGGACACTCTCCTTGGGTTGCAGAACCGGTGCGCGAGTTGGTACGAGCTGTACAAGGATATGACGCACCGGTTTCTGTGGGTGCATGAGAATCCCACTGGAAATGAGAGCAGCCAGGAGAAGCTAATCAGAGCCATTGTCCTTACGGATGCGGCGAGAAAGAATGCCCAGGGCTTCCATGTGGGTAATAGAGTGCAAGAGAAGTGGTTGGACAGAGAAAAGTTTGTGAGGGGATTGAATGGCCAGGATGGCTTTGTGAGACCGGAAAATGTTGACAAGGTGTTCAAGCCTGAAGATGATGCTCGACTGGAGGAGGAGGCTATGGAGGAGCTTGGGTACATCTAAAAGATAGGAGAACTGGTCATTTCATCATTGGTGGTAAGTTTCATCATTTGGCTCATCACTGTATTCTCTTTATCTGCCGCAAGGTTGACCGTCTAATGATTATGGTATCTGAGGTCTTTCAAGCTGAATGTTCATCTTGAAAGGGACAAAGCGGCGTCGAAGGTCTGCTTCGATGTAAGGGAACTGCCAAGGGGGTACAATAGTATAAAAGAAAACAAATACCCAGAAGAAACCAAACGTTCTGCGAAGGATCGAGTGCGGTCTATCTTTGCCCCTGCTGATGTTCAATCTGCTAGAGACAGCTTGTTGCATCAAAACTTCCAACAACCCAGCCGCGAAGTTAAAGAGTAAGAAAACCATGTCCCCATAGGTGTCTTCAACAGGCGCTGTATCCCTCGTCATCCAATTGGTGGCAACATGGATCGTCCCTGATACCATGAAAACAAAGAGAGCAAGAAATGACTTCTCTGCTGTGCCCTTGGGTCTCAGACGGAAAAGGTTCCGAGTGAGAAAGCGCCCGTATGTCAACTGCGACGGGCTTCCGATGTTCTGCCAGAATACTCCCCAGAAGCTTCTGATGCTGTGGACTTTGAGGGGATTTCCCCAGAGGGATGGCCACTCGTCTGGCGCGTCTAGCTGCAGGATGCTGACGAATAATATCGCGACGACCGCGTTCGCGACGGTGAGAATGAAGTATGTCAGCCAGGCCCACTGGAGACAGTAGGCTGTTCGCAAGAGAGTTGCGCGGTCGAGGGCGAAATGAAAGTATCCCGGTGACACAAATTCCCTAGGGGCAGGTCGTAGGAGAAATAAGGTGCCGACATCAATGACAAGATAGATGACCCAATGAATACAGATTATGCCGAGCTTGCGAAAAGTGAAGTAAGCTCGCTGGCGTAGAGTAATGATGCGTTGGTGTGGGGACGGTCGAAGCGGTAGTCGACGAGGGTTGTTCCATGCCTTGACTGAAGCGTAGATTCTCTCTGCTGGGAAATCTCCTGGCCTTGATGCCGTAACAGGCAGAGTCCATTTTTCAAGATAAAGGCCTGAAGTTGCATGGAAAACGTAAATGATTGACGTGAAAGCCCAAAGCCAGTCAAGTCCTGCCTGAAGCCTTCCACCCTGCAGGAAACAGATAACCGGTCCGGCGATGTTGAAAGGGAGCAGAAACCATCTTCGAAGGCCAGGTCGCTGATGGATGGTGACGACAAAGGCTGGGAGGGAAGTCAAGAACCAAGCCACGGGAACTAGTCCGTGCAGAACGGCGGACAGCTCCGTGTTGCGGAGTAACTTAACAAAACCAATCTCCATGATCGCATGCGTTGAATGAGGGCGAGTTTCGCGCTGAAAGAGTGCGTTTGTAAGTCGGCGAAGTCATCCGGACTTTAGATCACTTACATCCAGTCAGCCTTTTCGGAAACGGCCTCGTCGTCGACTTGGCTGACGACACCGTCAGAACTAATATTGAATCCTTCGTGGGTGTGCCTTGAGTCGGCAGGAATTATAACCCGACGTTGAATCCTTTGACTGCAGTTGATGAGCTGAGAGATGGTTCGCCCGGAACTTTTGCGGGCTCATGCAACGGCTCCATCGCGGCTGAGGCGACGATCGCCGATCGCTGGCAAGGATGTAAATGGGCAAGGCCAGGCACCGAATTTCCACTTTGACGACTGAGTATGTTGTGGGGCTGTCCCGGTCGAATGATGGGATGACTCTAGCCTTATTCTGGTGAAGGATGAACTTTTGGGGTTGCAGTATGCTTAGCTGCGGATTGTGGGCCCGGTTCTTTTGATTCATGGCTCACGCAGCCTGTTACTCGACGGAGGGCTTCAAGTCTTCCCTAGTCAGGTTCGAAGGCCAGTATCGAATTCAACTTAGCAGACTTTGAGTAGATCACTGCATGCTCGGTTGGACATTTCCATTACATCAGAAGTTTCAAAATCCCGAAACAACAATCGATAGAAACAAGTGACTTCGACCTCAGTAGCCACGACGTCGTCGAGGGATTTCGAGGCGAAGAGTGTGAGCCATCAAGACTGACTGGTGTCGATTGTGTCCCATGATCTGCGAGCCGCACGTTCTAGAATTCTTCCAAACTCAGCGTGTTGCCTCGCGAGATGAAACTCGATCAAGAAAGAAGGATTTCTTGGGTTCCACTGAACCATGTCCCACAAATTCCATACTTTCATCCTCTTGTGAACATGGGTTGCCCAGACCCGAAGGAATCTCAGCACACTCCTTCTCGCTAAAGCCTTGCCTGTAAGGGTCTAGGACAAGGTCGATGCCATTGGTCTAGCCTACTACTACGAGTACAATAAATCTTCTTGAAGAACAGGAAACAGAACCATATCCTCCCTATTTCCTGGGCATTCTTATAACCTTGCCATTGACCTTGTCG